GCAATTGTTACACCAGTTTTCAAGTCTGGAAATGCACAAGAAGTCACAAACTACAGACCTATCAGCATATTGCCCGTTGTCTCAAAAATTGCGGAGAGATGTGTAGCTGATCAGCTACAGGCCCATCTTAACAACTCTCCTTTCAACCTACACCCCATGCAATTTGGCTTTAGGGCCAACCATTCCACTGACACTGCCACCTGCTTTTTCATAGAAAGCGTAAAGGCTAAAATGGACAAAGGGGGGGTAGTCGGTGCCATTTTCCTGGACTTAAAAAAAGCATTTGACACCATCAGCCATAATGTCCTCATCTCCAAACTATCACTGTTCAACTTCTCACCTGAAGCGGTAAACTGGGTAAAATCATATCTAGAACACAGGACACAAGCGGTCCGGATAAATAATAGTCTATCGTCCCATCGGGCTTACACTGCCGGTGTGCCCCAGGGTTCTATCCTGGGGCCGCTCCTGTTCAGCATCTATATAAACGACTTACCATCTGTGTGTTCTGGATGTGATATTCAAATGTATGCAGACGACACTGTGATCTATGTACATGGTAAAGATAAGGCGGAAGCAGCCCAAAAATTGACTGAAACCATGATTCACGTTTCAGAATGGCTTTTTAAGTCGTGCCTGCACTTGAATCTGAAAAAAACAGAATGTATGTTTTTTTCTAAACAAAATTCTAATTCACCAAACCCCAGTGTGTGTATTGCTGGTAACACAATAAATGTAGTGACACAATACACATATCTGGGTGTTGTCATAGACTGTCATTTTTCTTTCAAGAAACAGGTAAAGAAAGTAAACCGAATAGTAAAGCTAAATTTAGCAAATTTTAAATTCATCAGAAGTAACTTAAACCAGGAATCTGCCATTTTATTTTTCAATTCGATGATTATGCCGCATCTTACCTACTGTGTTACCAGCTGGTCACAGGGATGCAAGACAGCCCTGAAGCCTATCCAGTCTGTCTACAAACAGGCGTTAAAAGTCCTGGATAGGAAACCTTTCCGGCATCACCACTGTAGCATCTTGGCCAAATATAAGATGCTCAGCTGGGAAAACCTGGTAAGATTTCAAGATGGTCTTCTGGTTTTTAAAATCTTAAATGGTCTGGCCCCACCCCCACTATCTATTTTTTTTAAGCAGAGCAGCAGAAACACCAGATCTGCTGCCTCTAATAATCTTCTCGTCCCACTGAGAAAAAGTTCCTTTGGCCAATCAGCTTTCTCAGTGCGCGCCGTTCAGTTTTGGAACACAATCCCAGTCCATATAAAAAATAGCACCACACACAGGACTTTTAAACATACGTTGAAAGCCTGGTTATTGGACAATCAAGATTGTAACCACTCATGATGCATTACTTGCTTTTATATGTTTTAATTACGTGTTTTAAACTGAAATGTTTTAACTAGTTACTCTATATTGTCATGTGATGTAATGTATTGTAATGTAATTGTAATTTTTTGCAGTGCACTTTGATGGCATTTTACACCTTGCCTAGGGACTACAGTTGGAAACTAGCTGTTAGCTAATACTGACACATTTACAGCAATGTTGATTAATGTGTAACGTCCCTATTCAAATAAACTATTAAATAAAATAAATAAATATTTGTATTGCACAATTCATACACAAGGCAACTCAAAGAAACCAGATAGACACAACCACACAAGGCATTCAAATCATAAATAATGACGGTACATTAAAAAGAGTAAATATGGAATCCCTCAGTTGTCTGCACAGCTAAACAGAACTGTTTTAAGTCTGTCTTACATTTTCAGGAAGACTATTCCAGATTTTAGATGCATGAATATGAAATGCTGCGTCTCCATATTTAGTTCTGACTCTGGTTTCTAGATAGAGACAGCATATAGTTGTTCGATTCAATAACACACACCATCTATTATTTATGGGGAAATAAATGAAGTTACCCCAGCTTTAAATGACCAGTATATAAGGAATCAATGTAACGATATCTGTAAAGCTTATATGTTACTCTTAGACACATAGACACATAGACAGAAAATTCATAGAAAAAGAACCAAATTCAAGGATCACCGGCAAACGACTTCCGACTGATTTGAACGATTTCACGAGACCCGTTCCCAGAGGACAGTCTCCGACATCTTAAAACATTTTGAATTGATGCATATGATCATATCTGTCATGTTTCCTCCAGGAGAGACCTCATCAGCGTCCGGTTGATTCCAGGTGACTGAAGACGACAGCTCCGCAGAGATAGGAGACACAAACCTGATTATCTGGGCCCTGAGTCCTGGGTCTCGTTGGGGCAGTGCCAGCGAGAGTCCGGGAGCAGTTCTAAAGCAGCAGATAATGTGTAATCTGTTTAAGAAAGCCCACGCAGCAGGTACGGGACGCCACGTCACTGTTTACAGCACCGTGACGCAGCTCATCAATCAGGTTTGGAAACAATTCAATCAGAGCAGAAGGACGGGGCCCGGCACAGAGACACAGAGGAATTTACACAAAGTCATTTCACTGCCTTCAGTTCAGAATATTCTTGTTTGAGTGAAAGAAGAGTGTGTCTGAGTTTGTGTCAACATATAATGGACAGTTTTTGAATCCATAATAGTTTACTAAACGTGTTTTTGTCACGTTTTTGTTGCATTTTATTATGAGGAAAATGATTGAAATGAAAAAGGAAACAGAATAACACAGAAAATGTAGTGAAATTATTTTTTCAAATCAGATTAATAAAATATTCCCTGAAAAAAGCATTACAGAAATAAAAAATAAAAAATCTTTTCAAGTAAAATTATTAGAATAAAGACCAAGATACATCTGAAAATGTGTTTGGGTGGCACAGAGGCCCGTTGCGCTTTTCTGCAACAGGGTACTGGGTTCGAATTGGAACAGGGTCTACGTATCTGCGTAGGTTTTCTCGTGGTGCTCCGGTTTCCCCTAAGTAATCTTTATATATATATAGCACCCTTTACAGACCAGAGTCACAAAGCGCTTTACCCTACCACTAAAAACATAGAATAGCTCTCCTCTCTCTGGTACCAGGACTCCCCTGACAAACTGATTCTCAAGTTTACGTTTCTCGGTTAAATAAAGATAAGTTAAAGTTAATAAAAAATAAAAAATATAATAATAATTTTCCATAAAATAAGTCACATTATTATATGACTTGGACTGTACGCGCGCTCTGATTGGCTGATTGTCTGATATTTTCCCATCTCGGACCGTTACCATGACAATTGGTCCGCAGCACGTATCACATTTGATATCTTTCCTCGGACCATTACCATGACAAATCAGACCTTGAACTTTTTGCACAGACCTCGCCACAGCTCGGTCTGTACATTAAGGTCTGATATTTCTCTGTACAGACCTCACGCTCGTTTAACAAACCGTTAGTATAAACAGGTGCATTGCCTTTATAAGAACCAGGGCAAAACCCAGAATATAGGATTTTAAACATTCATAATAAACAGTCCAAACAACATCATGGAATATATTTTAATAAAGAAATGATAATAAAAGTACAGATTTAGTCAAAACAACACACCCTTTATCCTATGCATTATTAAATAGTTACCGTCAAACAAAATCAACGCAATAGACGCATGACACCCCTTTGTAAAAAAAAAACATAAAATCATATTCACATGCGATTAACTGTGATTCTTTCCCGTGACGAAACAGGATGGAATGACCGTTTATTGATTCGGTATTTGGCTTAAATAAACGATGATTTGTGCCGCGTGTTGACATCTCCCAAGTTATAAAAGAGCAGCATTTAATTCACTTGGATAATGAATAATAAAACCCATGCATAGCCTACAGTATGGTGAATCCGTCGTTACGTTACGAAAACTACACATTGGCAGAAGAACCCGCATCGTACTGGACAGTGACCGCCATGCATATGTGTGTACTAATATTTGGCCATTTCTGCTAATACTGTGTCCTCCGTTACAACCAGACTAAAGACCTAAGACAGCAAGCGGATATACTATTGCTATAGAAGTCCTGGACGCGCCTACTACTCCTACTGTAAACCAACTGGAGCTAAAGGTGTGTGCATGTGTGCGTGTGCATGTGTGCGTGTGTGTGTGTGCGTGGGTGCGTGGATGCGTGTGTGTGTGTCGGCCTCACAAACTTAAAGGGAACGTCTGTGTAAGCCTGCTTTGCACTGAAGAGGTGAGAGATTTTTATGAACATGTTGATTTAAAATGATCAAACAAACAAAAATGTGTCATTACAGATTTATAATATGTGTTGTGGATCATTATTGTGAATCCCTCCTCCAATAAAGTGACAGGGTGGAGGGCAGGTGTCATTACAACTCTATAGGAAAGCAGCAATTTTTTTGAAGAAATGTTAAAAAATAATTTCAATGATTCACAAACCTGCCATATTTCTCAACTGTCCAACATAAAGCATATGTTTTTGACAGCACTCATAGACACATTCATGATCAAAGAATTAGACCAGAGTTTATATGTACTGATATCATACTGTTTGAGACTAAGTCTGGATTTTGGAACCAAAGACAGAGCCGCAGTTAGGATCAGGGTTTGGCAAATAAAGAATACATAACATAAGACTAAAAGAATAAAAATAATAAGAATTAAAATGTCCGGGTATCAATTCTGTGAGGACGGGCTGCTGACACTGCCTGGAGAGTTCCAAAAAAACACATTTTTTAATTCTTCAGTCAATGTACATTGCCCCTGAGTTGTCTCGCCACGTTTAAATATTACCAGCACTTTTATTGGTTAGAACTTCCTTATATGATAACTCACTGTTCATACCCTCTCACCCATATTCACAACATTTATCACTTATTTTGTTTTGTAAAATTAAAATGGACTTTAATGTTTTGAGTTGTAGAGTAGATAAGACTGAGGCCTGTAATGTACAGAGTGTTCCTCTCAGTGCAAAGCAGCTGCATGTGAAGTGAGTGTAGCTGTAGCACTGGGTCTTGGTCTTTGTTAAACAGGCTTTGTGGAGTCACTTTAGTGTTAATGCAAGTCTGACGTAAGGGAGCCCTCTCCAGGATCTTTGGCGTCGGGGACCTTGCTCTGGGACGAGACCCTCTCGTAGATGAAGCTGTAGAGGGTGACGTCAGGCCCGGTGGTTCGGCAGCTCTTACACACCACACTGGAGTACTGAAGCAGCAGGCTGTACAGGCGCCCTGTGTGGAGAGAGGACACTGATCACACTCAGCTCCTCTACAGCACTGGACTGTAGCGGAGGAGGGAAACAAAGCTTTACGTATAACTCTGTTCTGATAAGATAAGATAAATTTTATTTATCTCACAATGGAGAAATGTCCACATTGCATTTAGCAAAGATAGATTCACTCACGTTGTGCAAAAAGACAGTAAGTGTGCAAACATGTTAAAGGTTGAAAATAGTCTCTTTTGTGAAAGATATATTTTTTATATTTTAATATGGTTTTTTACATAATTTGAAACCTTACATCGTGTCAAAGATGGATCTGTTATAAACCTGATGGAATATAATATTATGCTTTCCTGCTGACGTGTGCTGAGGGGGACTGGACTCTCCAATGACGTGCTGCCTTTGTCTTTGATGGGGCCAAGTGGGGCACACCGCCAGACAGCAGTAAGTAGCAAAGGCAAAGTCAAGAGGGTCTGGTCGGCCAATGTAATTATAATAATTAGTCATTACAAAATGTGACTTTGAAGTCCCTCGCCGTGACCAGTGTAGTACCAATCACATCGACAACAGTCACATAAGACGGAGGTTTTTCTTTACCATCAGTCACTTCTGTGCAATTCTCTTTAGTTCTTGAAATGTAATGCTATTAGCACCATTGTGAGGACTTTTAAACACGTATTCAAGCGTCTTTGCTACCGTTCTTTTTTCACTAAAATTAACTAATTGTTCATCAAAGCCCCTTGTTAGCCACACACAGGTTATATTCAGTGCATAAAAGCCACAAATAGTGATGGACAGTGCACTATATACATTTAAAGTGGTCACACACGTCAGAAATGTAAACATTGGCCTATTTGATTCTTATTTATTGAAGAATTGAGAGAAGATTCAGTCAGGGCAAGAGCCGCACGGAAAGCAGCCCAACGAGACAAACTGTGCACATATTTTAGTGGCCTTATTCATCACACATGCACACACACAAGTCTTCTCTGTACCTCCACTTTAGGAAATGGATGGCTAGAGGGGAATTTCTGTGAAAAGCTTCAATAAATGTCAGTGGAAGAAAAATGAAAAAGAGGAGAGGGGGGAAGGCAGCGAGAGGAGGGGGTCAGTTGAAGGGGTAATCCACTCTCCTGCGCAGCCTAAATGAATGGGCAGAGACGCTGAGATGGCCCTTATAGTGGAATAACTTAACATACAGATGGACTGGGTTGTTATTTATGCGGACAGTCCCAGTAATAACATCAGTGAGAGAAAGCCTGGATGAAGACGAGTCCAAAGCAGCCATCTCCAGCTTCATGAACAGGCAGCAGTCAAAGTGAACCTCTGCTCACAAGGACCGCAAGCTTTGTCCTGGGGGAAAGATTGTTGGATACACCGGTTGTCATTTCAAAATGTAAAAGTTCAATTGAATGTTGAAAAACTGGCATATTATTCAACTGCAAATCTTTTTAATAAATGTCTAAATAAATGTTGTAAATTGAAGGAATTTGTTAGGGTTATCATTTCATCTTAGTTCAACGAGGTTCATGTGGTTGAAACTGTCAGGTAAGACAAAAAGCACTCTGGTTACAAAGAAAAAAATTGTAGAATATATTTCCTGGTCATGTTTAGAAAGCGATTTCTTCTTATATTTTTCTTCTAAAATAACTTAACTGATCTGTCGTATCTCCCCACACAATCATACCTTGTTTAACCAAAAACAACACTCAACGTGCAGCCGAAGTGGGTTTTTTTTTCAGGCACGTCATGAAAAATCAACATTAGGAGTTTAGTGTCGTCCGTGTGGATGATTGTGACGACTGAAGGCGGTAGACAGAGAGCAGAGCTGGGAGGGCGGGTTTGTCCTCTTCTGGGTCCTCGTCTGCAATGAGCCGCCCCATGTCGGCGGCCAAGAAGTATCGGAACCATCTCAACTTCATGTGATAAAAGGTTTAGGAAAGACTGAGCATTCTGTTTATGCTAATAAACAAAGTGTGCAAAGTGTGGTTTGTGCAGCTGGCTCTTTCCTCCACATCTGTAGCAGCCAATGGGAGAGCTGATTTGGACTGACAGCACCTGGAGATGGGACCGACCACATTCAAAATGGCTGTCAGGAAGCCAATGGATGCCCCTCATCTCACAGTAGCACCTTTTTTGAATCAATATCCTATCCTATATCCTATCTGTGGAGTCCATTTTTGTCCAAACCTCGAGCCAGTTTCTTCCGTGGGCATAATAAGCGAGTATTACACTGAGAGCGCGTGGAGCCTTACCCACTGTGACACGCCTCTCCGTGATGAACTTGTGCATCTCGTGGACGTCCCTCATCAGCTGCGCGTGTCCGAATGTGAAGTACGCCACGTCCCTCCCGGCCTCGGCTGCTGCCATCAGCTGAATGAGAGCTGCACAATGACAAGCACATGAGCAAACTCAACAACAACCACTAATTGGTCAATAAGCCCCGTACGCTATAGCGCTTTAGACGGGAAACATAAGTGACAGGTGCAATTTGTGTATGAAGAGTAAATAATCCTCTGCTGGTCGCGCTGCCTCATCAACGCCACTCAATTTTTTATCCCTCGCAAATTAGCTCTAAAGCCTTTAAATATTTACAAGAATGGCTATTGACTTTGGATTAATGAACGGAGAAAACAGAAAGGCTTGTAATCTTCATAGCAACATACAAAGCACGATTACAGTATTGCAGAAATGAGAGTAGCTTTTAGTTATGCTCTTTCTAAAAATTGCTTTTTGTGATATTATAAAGCTAATCGACAGGAAGTACAGGAGCTAATGTAGCGCTGCGACAAATTCAATGTAGAAAATGTAGTCAAAGACAATGCTGACATACAAGTTTATTAAATGTCTTGAAACAGTATGATAGGATAATGATTCAGCAAAAAGTCCAAATGGTATCAACATACATTTTTAAAATGGCAACTCGGGACAAGAGTGGAAAACGTTGGTGTGTTGTTTGGACCCGAGTTGGCTTTTCACCATGGGGGAGACAGGCATGTGTCAAAATAAGATGGTAAATAAAAATCGCGGGATCCTCGACAAGCAATATAAAAAATTTCAAAGATACAGTACTTTTACAAGGACAAGTTTATAAAGGGAAGAGCAGTGCGTGCAATAGTCCAAACATTGATAATAGAAGATCATTCTTGTTTCTTGGCTTGTTACGCTGTCTTTATGTAAAGTACTGTCCCTCGTGTGACTTGTGTGTAAGTTGTAAAACCTGCTTCTCCTGACCCACATGTAAGAAAGGGGCAATAAAAAAAGATTAGCGCCGGGCGTACACAGACTCTACAGCGGTCCGCTCTGGTCTCCTGTTGACTGACAGGTGTCCTAGTGTTGATTGCTGTGAACCTGCATGGTTTTGGGTCTAACAGGACTGGAGTAGACTGGAGTCAGTACTACGTTACAATCAGCAGTCGCCCAAAGTTGGAGTTTGTGTATGCCCTGAGTAGTATTGACACACCGGCCCATAATGCTGAAGTGTGTAAGGAAGAGGCGACCCGGGATCTTGGACAAAATACCTGTGTCTTTGCACATTTTGGGTCAGCAAAAATCCATTTTGTATGTATAGCCTATTAGGGGCCAAAATCCTTTATTTCTTAATGAATCATATTGTATTAGAAGTATATTGTCTCAAACCTTATCGAATTGAATGTCCTCTGTATTGGCAGTCTCTGAAAGATACTCAGCCCTAAGAATATCTAGGAAATATCTGAGTCAGAATTACTGATAAACTCAGCAATTCAGCAAATAGAGTCTTGATAATTGCAATAGACAATGTCAAAAACTATCAATATCTGAGAAATGATGATTAGATTATTGTATCATGCCATTTTCAGCCGTGTAAACATTTACCCAAAGCTGACATCTTGTTACTTAAGAGAATTCAAGTTGAGAGCAGCAGCAGAGGAATGTGTTAGACAGCCCATTGAGAGCTGGAGCAGGCAGGATTTATGTCTCTTTACCCTGTAATCAATTGGCCTATTAATGGAGGGCATAAACCTGTGTCAGCGATCAATACACGAGAGGGTACAGCTGAGTGACACCCACAGAGAGAACTACTAATTGAGCAGGAAGTTTGGAATGGACCAGCAACTGTCATGGAGTACAAGAAGTCTGCTTCTCTCTGTAATTGTGAAGAGGAGCAGAGCTGTGGGGAGAGTATATAATATAGTGAGAAGAAGAAGAAGAAGATTTCATAGTTAATTTATTGTTGTTTTAATGTTCAGATACACTTAGGACAGAGCTATTTGATTTTTTTTAGGTCTGGGGGTTTTGAAGGGACATAATCTCTCTGCCAGAAAATTGTACATTTCATCCAATATCTACTTTTTGTTTTTTTGTAAATGTAAAGCTTTCATTAGCAGAAAACTTTGAGGGGCCTGATTTGGGTAAGTATAGTCGGGTATAGGACATACTGTACAGTAGGTTGAGCCAATACAAAGACCACATATTGTCGTACTTTAGTGGACATTAGAATAGGGGTGGGCAAACCGGTCCACAAAGGGCTTGTGTGGCCGCATTAAAACACTTACTTGGCAAAGTTAGAAATATTGTAGAGATGAAAATCTGGTTATTATTCCAAAACATTGAAGTCTACGTGACTGAATACATTTGCTGATACCGGAACATCCCTGCTTTGTTTGGATCTGACTTCACCATCTCATCCCTGATTGGCTTCTCTCATTTATAATGCAAGTACACTTATTTATTTATATTGCACATTTCCCCGACAAAAAGTGCTGCACAGACACACACAAATATATAAGGCCAGCACCCAAAATAACACACACAAAAACTCTCTGTCCCTATACCCGACCCTAGACCCCACATAAACATATTTATAGCCAACTTACAAGTCTTAAACTAATGTTACCTTTTAGCTTCGTGTCCCCACCAAAAGCTCCACAGCCCCAGTTGCCCGTAGCGACTGCGGAGAGATGCTGGCGGTTGGCGTTATGTTGGAAGAATCCGCAGTACGCCTGAAGGGGAAGCAGGAAGTAAGCAGAAACACACTATGTTAATGATGTTTGCAGAAGAAAGGGTTGACCCGTGAGTGGCATTAAAAAAACACTGTACATTAATTAGTTCACCGACAATCGACCTCACCATGTGTAAGACGGGTTAGAACTGTTCAGGAGTGATGTCATCATACAACAAATAATGCATTTTGTGGGAACTACAGGTTGGAATATTTTATAATATTTCTAATGGAATAAGAGAGTGATAAAAGTGAGTGCATCAGGAGATCCAAAAATCTTGTCTTTAAAGAGTTGAGACGAGTGTATTAATGTACGAATATTCATTTTGTTAAATCTGGGTATCGTTCAGAGCCTGCCGATGTAATACAATCTTGATACAGGGAACTTTCAATTTGACCTTTATTTAAACCAGGAAAGTCCCACTGAGACTTTAGAATTTCAGTAGAGTCTTGGCTCCAGACAGGGGAGTCTGTTCGGGGAGGGCGTTACAGGGGACTATTCTGATTTGGACATGTTTTTAGTGGTAGGGGAAAATAGAGCACATGGAGGAACCCACGTAGACACAGGTAGAACATGCAAACTCCACGCAGAAAAGCTGCTCATTAAAAATAGCTATATTTTTTCATTTATATATTTCTTCACTATGTTTCCTCATAATGTGCACAACTGATTTGGTCTTGTTGTTAATTAGTTGTTAATGTAAGTTAATGAGGTAAACGCAATGATGTCGTGATGCTAAATTATGCTATTCCAATAGTTTACAACAAACACTGTTTACACATTTACCTGATGAGGTACATATTATAATTTGCACTACTTCATTGTTTAATTGCTGATCAATAGACCACAGTAAGCTTTTGAGGTTGACAATCATGTCTGAAGCAAAAGTAACCTCTGCTATAATACAGTAGCTGTCGGGTTTAATTAGCTTTAAGTGTTAAAACTCAGGCACCATTAAAAACAGACCTGGCTCTTTCTGACAGCGCTAATTTGGCACCTCTGTCCCAGCATGTACTCTTCAGGACTGTTTTCAGATGCTAAACTCCCATTAGTGCCACTATATCATGTTGAGAAGTGGCTATACTAAGCATTACTGTATATATTGTCATAAGGCACAAAAACCTTATGCGTCGTCACAAGAAATGTTGCTCTAAAAAGTTATCTGCCTTCATAAAAAGATAAACACACACGTCACATTAAAGTGATAGTATGTAACTCTAAATTAATTACAAATTTTAAGAATTGTAGTAAATTGACTTCCTGGCCTTATATGTTGATATAAAATAAGTCATTTCATTAATTCTAATATTACAGTTAAGTTCCGCCCTCCCTTCTCTTAGCTATAGCTCAAAATCCACGATACCGTCCACGTTAACCAATCAAGTCATGCCAAGGGCTGTCAATAATCGGCGCTGATGCTCGTAGCTGCGCGCATGCTCAGTTGTTTGTTTTCGCGAAGCCTCTGAATCAAGCTTCTATTAGGCTCTGAAACTACATGAAAACTGAACAAAGAATTTTGAACATCCGCGCTGAGTTACTCATTTATATACTGAACCTATATCCATAATCAGATCCTCTGCAGATGTGTCCTACAATGTGCAATTAATGATAATAGCTTCTTCCGAGCTTGCCGCGATTGTTTTTTTGTGCATTAAAACATTATCTTTTTCATGAAAACGTTAACGAATAATTGTGAAAACCTCCGCGCATGTGTATTAATAATGTATATGTATAATGTGTTCTCTGATTAACATTTAAATGTGTTATGGAAACGTAGGTGTAGACCAATCAGAAAGGAAGGGGGAGGGAGCTTGCGTCGTTTTTTTCAAATCAAGTACCTCTCTCTCTCTTTCTGACAAACTGCAGGCAATCACTTTAACATATGTGATTTTGTTTTTGACTCTACCATATAAATGTACAATATAAAATGAAATATAAATATACTTTTTTTTTAAAAGGGTAATGGGCCAGAATTGTCTTGTCTCCCCTCCTGGACTGCCACCTTAACGTGGTGGGGAGGTTGAGGCCCCGACTCCACCGGGCGCGTAAAACGGACGACGGATCCGTCCAAACATGTCCGTTTCATCTCCGTCTCCGTTATCTCCATGAGAGTGAATGGAAGTGGCTCCACTGCCTCCGCATGCGTCCGTCCAACGCACGTCGGACCTATTCCGTCAACGGAGGGTGCAAAAGACGTGGACGGACGAAATAGAAACAATCCTATTTGTTCCGTCCGTCGACGCGTGTCGGGTCCGTTTTCCATTGAAAATGCAATGGAATAATATATTTACAACATTGTTAAACATGTATTGATATGCTGTAGTCCTTGGTTATAAGTATTTGTTAATGACAATGATTATTAACAAATGTGTGTAATGTTTTTCATGTATTAATTTAAATAATTGTTTCCTGATCGTAAATCTACCATTTATTTTTCGCGTAATGTTAATACGCTAATCTTTACATACACCTCGCTCTTTTTTCTCTCGCTCTGTCCCGTCTACCTCCGAGGCGCTCTCTCCTCACCGCCGCGCGCTCCCAGACAGACAGACAGACAGACACACACACACACACAGAGCTGCACTTATGAGAGACAGATCTCACAACACTGGATATGTTGGAGTTCTTTTCTCTCTCCCCTTTTTCCAATTGCTTTCAATAAGTTTTGCCTCATCCATCGCGACGTCCTCAATGCTTCAATATGCTGTGCTTTGCACTGATCATAGCCACAGCTCATGCACATCACACACCGCTTCTTCTATTTAAAACTATAGCTCCGCCTGTTGCCTAAAGCCGCAGAGAGGCGAGTTGGCTCCGATAAAAGTGTATCATGCGCTAAATAAGTAGAAAACAAACGAAGAGGCTGGATCATAATAAACGCTGCAGTCACAGACCCAAACACACATGCACGCACACGCCTCCCACCACACACACACACACACACGGGCGCTCTCACGCACACGCTCACGCACACATGCACGCCGACAATACATAACTCCTCCATCAGCCAAACATTCATTCATTCACACAATGCCCAAACATGTCTCCTACAAAAAGAAAGCAGGCTGATAAACGCACAGCCAGAGTTGCTGCTGCTGCAGCCGGTTTGACCACTGGTCCGTTTTACGGACGGCTGACGGACAGCAGCCAACGCGCGTCAACGGAGACGCGCCCGGTGGAGTCCAGGCCTGAGAGATACCGACTAGAGATAGTCGGCCTCACCTCCACACACAGCTTGGTCTCTGGAACCCAACTCCTTGAGAGGGGTTGGACGCTCCACTTTTCTGGTGTTTCTATCAGGGAGAGGCGGCGAGCGGGGGTGAAGATTCTCATTGCCCCCCATCTCAGCCACTACGTGTTGGAGTTCTCCCCGGGGAATGAGAGGGTCCCTCCGCCTCAGGTTGGGGGACACGTCTCTCACTGTTGTGACGGCCTACGGGCCAAACAGCAGTGCAGAGTACTTGCTCTTAGCTCTGCTCAAGTGTTCAATATAAAGGGGATACGAAATAACCAACTCCCTTTTGTCAATCATGCTGCCAATCCAGCATTCCATTGATCCGCTAATGTTCCATCTTTATAAGTTACTATTGTGGAAGAGGATCTGCCTCTCTTTTTGTCTTGTCCTTCAATAATCCACAATATGGAATTGAACTTGCCTGCCTCCATAAAGTGAAGAGCCAGACGTGCCTAGATCACCTGTGGCCAGCTGTGGAGTGTCCAAATAATGCAGTTTGTGTCATTTCAAACTGAAGTGAATGGAAAAAATCTGTACTCCAAAAACATTGTAAAGCACTTTGGGTGACCTTGGCCTTGCTATATAAAAACAGATTACTGACGCAACTGAGCAAAGGCACATGGTACTAAAGAGTACTATTAGCAACTATTAGTGAAACAGCACGTCAGACGAGCGTTCCCCAACATTATCGAGCCGTGGCACACCTCTTCATGAAAACAAGTACATGACATCACTGACACAAAAATGAAACTGCAGCCTTTATGAACAATGAAAGTAATTCTCTGTTCAGCACTTTGAGTTTCCTTGTGTATGAACTGTGCCATACAAATAAACTTGCCTTGCCTTCTCATTAACGTGTATAATATAGAAAATAAAAGAAGAGTACAAATGTGTTTCTAATCTTCACATTATTTTCTTTTCACATTATTTTGACCACAGGGGATCTTCCAGGGCACACTGGTTGAAAATAAGCAGCGTTTCGACCATCTTAAGTCGCCATTCATTTTTTCTTTTGTGCAATAAATACGTCTTGTCCCCATCAAAGATAATCCCACCCGTTGTAGAACGTTAAAGCCACAACGGACAGTGGGTCAGTGGTCACTTACTGCATGTCTTAACTATGCACAGCTCATGTCCGCTACAGTCTCCTTGCCACATCGCTCTCACCTTATTAAGTTCTCGGGTCATCTTCTCCGGAAAGAACTGCTCAATGAACTTTCTGTATTTGTACGCGTCTATGGCCACGATTTCAGTACACCGCCTCTGCCAATCATCCCTGCAAGAAAAGGAGGGATCAATCATTCGATCATTTAAGTGGCGTTTTCAGTTAAATATGCTTAACAGGACGGATACTTACCTTGGCGTCTCATCTTTGTAGCTGCCCGCCCACTTATAACTCTCTGCATAACCTGAATATTTACTATACTGCTCCGTGCCTGCAAAACACAAGCGAGCAGTGGGGGAAATCCATTAGGGAGTATTTGGCAAATCTCAATAATCGCTTTAGTTTCTCAAATTCAATTCGGTCTGTCCGTTTCTTGGGCTTGTACACTGTTGTGGAATTGGATTGTCATAAATAAAGTGCACTCATTGATTAAGTAATCCGCTTAGAGAGTTGAAATAAAAAGCCTTTGGGGGTAATGCGAAGAAATGGTTGCGCAGGAGGAGCTAACCTTGGCTACGAACGCGGGCGACATATGAAATGGCCGACACATGTTTTGACACGTTGGCATTTATACTTACAGGTTACATAGTTCTGTGGACTATTTGTTTCAGGAATATTGGTGAAACTCACGCCTTTTAAAGCCCTCAGAGTCCGTATAATAGGCATACGTTGAAGAGTGACAGGGCATCGATAGGAGTTATTTTTGAGACATCTTGAGACAGGGACCCGCAAAATGAGCACAAACCCAACGAAAAGTAGCAATTTTAAGCACACAATATTTGAGTCATTACTGTGGTATTGGACCCAATTTCTCTTAAAACAATCTTAACTAAACAAATAATTGCTGATTACACAAACAGCATCTCAAAATTGTCCCATATATCTTTACAATTTGCTGATCTTAAGTTAAATCAGATCAATTTTACAAAATACATTTCTAAAATCAATACAGAACATTACAATGACTTTAATACATTTTGATCACATTAATTCTGCTTTTTTGGATTTCCAAGCTGAAAAAAACTAAAATGAGTAACTGAATAACAAAATGCCAAGAACCTCATCATAACATTAGCGCAAACAAAAATGGGAAAAAACATTTACATATCATATCTGTGCCTGTGTAGGTTTCCTTCGGGTGCTCCGGTTTCCCCTACCACTAAAAATGTGTACAATAGGTCTAAATGTACAGTGAGTGACTGGTTGGGGGTGGTCAGAGTGTTGGTGCGTCTCGCCTCTGTTGTCACTGAGTGAGGAGGGAATGGAAATTACTGGTACAACAAAAACTGTAAAGCCCTCTGTCAGTCCTTAGTCTGTGAAATCCTTCATTCATATAAACTTGTTTCTGAAAACCTGGGTTACCGCAGAGCCTGAACTTCAGTTATTCAGGGTTAAGATTAGAAAAAGTGGTCTCACGCTACTTCTAATCACTATCAAGACATTTCTTTAATCTGAACCAAAAATGCAACAATAACAACATACATTGTCGTCCTGGATACGAGCAGGGCGCCAATTGTCCCAATAGAAATGGATTATCTATAAGTGTGTCAATGTTTAATACTTCTGCGAGACAACAAAACATACACCCTTCAAATCAAGGACTTCCAAGACACGAGCGACGCCTAACGTTAAAGCGCAGAACAGTTGACTCACTCTCTTCATCATGGCCGCCCACTTCCCCTTCACCTCCGCCACATACGTCATTGGAGATTTCCCTTCTAAAATTACGCCATAACGGATAACGTCTCGTCGCTTTGTAAATACAAAACGCAGGGAAAGATCTATTGCAGCTTAAGAACAAAAAATATATATATATATATAAATTGAAAGTAGAACTGCTCGGTGTGGAGTATTTCTCCGACGGACTTTTTAAAAGGGATTGCGTGCTGGGAATATTGGCAATGGTTTAATGAATCCATGGCGTAACAGGCCCATTCCATTAGACAACCGCTGACCTAAGTTGGGTTATAAATTCTTTTCTGTCCAAATGTAATAAAGTTAAGTGGCTGGGAGGCGGAGGGAGACGTGGGCGGGTGGGAGGAGACAGCGAGTGAGCGGCTGAAGGTGACTTGTGTGTTCCTACGCAGACCACACGGCGCCCAGACCAGAGACTGGGGGGAAAGAAGGTTAAGTCCTTTATCTGTCCGCCATCTTTGAAAATAAAAGAATGTTTTGTGGCCTGTCGATAAGACGCGACAGGAGTTTGGTAATGAATTGGCAAAGGATGACGAGCAAAGGGGAGTTCGTCAAGGAGACATAAGTTATAACGCGTGTTGTTTTTAGAATAAGACCTATTAATCAAGGGCAGTAATGATGCTTTGTTTTTCATACAATCGCTCGGCAACTGGTCTGATTATTAATGTCATGTTTAAACAAATGAATAATACATGAAACGTCTAATAGATACATTGAAGTATAGAATGATTTACTAGTTTCAGAGAGACACTTCATTCGCACTGTTGACGTTGTGTTTACGATGTGATGGCGTTGGGCAGACATTTTGGCACAAATGGGAAAAAGAATGGACCTGCTTGCTACAGTGATCTGTTGCTACGCTGTCAGGAAGTGAACACTCTGCTGAGATAACATTTAAAGGTTACATATTGTGCAAAACAGCTGAAAATAAGTATGTACAGTAAATATGTTCATTTCTGGAATACGTGTCCTTAGACCAGGGGTCGGGAACCCAAAATGTTCAAAGAGCCATAATTGACAAAAAAAACTAAAAACAACATCTGTCTGGAGCCGCAAAAAAATAGCAGCCTTGTATAAGGCTTTTATGAAGGTAACACAGGCTGCAAGATGTATTCGCTATATTAGCCTAATATCTAAATGACAAAGTAAAGGCTACAAATACATAATAATCATTCATGATTATCAAATGTGTATTTTCACTGCAGCGTGTCGCACCACGCGTGTCGTGAATGATGCAACACGTGACAACTCTGCTTTAGTTTAACTTCAATTTTTTTTGCCTTCATGCAATTATAGAAATACAGTAAATAAATCTGCTTTGGGCTCAGAGGTCACACACCTGCATCACTGTCTGTTCATATCCATCACGTCACAGGCTGAAGTTTGCTGGAGCTGAATTAAAATCCTTAATGGCCTTTTCTTTCACCGTCTTTGAGAAGGTTTTGAAGTCTGAAAATAGGTGCTCTGAATTTTTGATGAATGAATCCTTCACGTAATCACCGTTTACGTCGTTTTGCGCGTCATTGTTCCTCGTGTTGCAACAAAACTTTTCATTACAAACATGAAGCAGTCCTTCCTCATTGACTGAAAGAAAATGTTCATTCTCATTCTTAGTCCAGTCTTGTTATCGACTCTTTCTCGTTTTAGCTTCGGGATCCATGTGCACTTACAGTCTATGATGCACACACGCCGGTTTGTTTACAGCAGCGGCCGCATGGGGCGGGGCCGCGTGACCGCGCGTCATAGGATATGACGCACTACGTTGACAGAAATGTTGAAATTAGATATTACTTATACATATTTTTACAGCATTTAAAAACGTAAAGATTGTTTTTCCTCCTACAGAAACCACATTCAAACTAGAAATAAAATATAGCCCTCACACTCCATTTTCAGACATTTTTGAAAAGGCTCCAGGAGCCACTCCAGGAGCACTCAAGAGCCGCATGCGGCTCCGGAGCCGCGGGTTGCCGACCCCTGCCTTAGACCCTCCTGCTCAGTCAAACAACTCAAAAATAAAAGTGGGTGAAAAAGTCACACCACGGGGAGGCCCATATTGAGAGAGGGCTCCACTCCCTAATGATAATAATAATTATATCAATAATAATAACAACAACAATCAAAATACTAAAATATAGCAATCAGAAATTAATAGTTATGGGGCGACAGTGGCTCAGTTGGTAGAGCATTGGCCTTTGAGCCTGAAGGTCGTGGGTTCGAGCCCACCATAAGACCTACTTCACGACTCCCACTGATGACTGCTGTTGTTGTGACCTTGAGCAAGACACTTAATCCCACTTTGCCTGAAGTGAAGTGGTGGTGATCTCAGCTTCTGTGGATTCACCACCTGCAGGAGGTTCAGTGAGGGGCTGATGCTGGTACTGGGTGCAGCTCTGAATGCCACCCCCCCAACCCAGAAATGGATTAAGGGGAAGAAAATTCAGTCTTTTAGACTGAACTTCTTAACATAAAGTCACAAAGTCACACTATTAAAACATCAAATAATTTTGTTTTGTTCAAATGTAAAATATATATATATATATATTATATATATATATATACAGTGAAAGTATTCGGCCCCCTTGAACCTTTCAACATTTCGCCACATTTCAGGCTTCAAACATAAAGATATAAAATTAGATTTTTTGGCAAGAATCAACAACAAGTGGGACACAATCGTGAAGTGAAACGAAATTTATTGGATAATTTCAACTTTATTAACAAATAAAAAACTGAAAAGTGGGGCGTGCAATATTATTCGGCCCCCTTGCGCTAATACTTTGTAGCGCCACCTTTTGCTGCAATTACAGCTGCAAGTCACTTGGGGTATGTCTCTATCAGTTTTGCACATCGAGAGACTGGAATTCTTGCCCATTCTTCCTTGCAAAACAGCTCGAGCTCAGTGAGGTTGGATGGAGAGCGTTTGTGAACAGCAGTCTTCAGCTCTTTCCACAGATTCTCGATTGGATTCAGGTCTGGACTTTGACTTGGCCATTCTAACACCTGGATACGTCTATTTGTGAACCATTCCATTGTAGATTTGGCTTTATGTTTTGGATCATTGTCCTGTTGGAAGATAAATCTCCGTCCCAGTCTCAGGTCTTTTGCAGACTCCAACAGGTTTTCTTACAGAATGGTCGTGTATTTGGCTCCATCCATCTTCCCATCAATTTTAGCCATCTTCCCTGTCCCTGCTGAAGAAAAGCAGGCCCAAACCATGATGCTGCCACCACCATGTTTGACAATGGGGATGGTGTGTTCAGGATGATGAGCTGTGTTGCTTTTACGCCAAACATATCGTTTTGCATTGTGGCCAAAAAGTTCGATTTTGGTTTCATCTGACCAGAGCACCTTCTTCCACATGTTTGGTGTGTCTCCCAGGTGGCTTGTGGCAAACTTTAAACAAGACTTTTTATGGATATCTTTGAGAAATGGCTTTCTTCTTGCCACTCTTCCAAAAAGGCCAGATTTGTGCAGTGCATGACTGATTGTTGTCCTTTGGACAGACTCTCCCACCTCAGCTGTAGTTATCTGCAGTTCATCCAGAGTGATCATGGGCCTCTTGGCTGCATCTCTGATCAGTCTTCTCCTTGTTTGAGATGAAAGTTTGGAGGGACGGACGGGTCTTGGTAGATTTGCAGTGGTCTGATACTCCTTCCATTTCAATATAATTGCTTGCACAGTGCTCCTTGAGATGTTTAAAGCTTGGGAAATCTTTTTGTATTCAAATCCGGCTTTAAACTTCTCCACAACAGTATCTCGGACCTGCCTGGTGTGTTCCTTTGTCTTCATGGTTCTCTCTGCGCTTTAAACAGAACCCTGAGACTATCAAAGAGCAGGTGCATTTATACGGAGACTTGATTACACACAGGTGCATTCTATTTATCATCATCAGTCATTTAGGACAACATTGGATCATTCAAAGATCCTCACAGAACTTCTGGAATGAGTTTGCTGCACTGAAAGTAAAGGGGCTGAATAATATTGCACGCCCCACTTTTCAGTTTTTTATTTGTTAAAAAAGTTAATAAATTTTGTTCCACTTCACGATTGTGTCCCACTTGTTGTTGATTCATGACAAAAAATTAGAATTTTATATCTTTATGTTTGAAGTCTGAAATGTGGCGAAATGTTGAAAGGTTCAAGGGGGCCGAATACTTTCGCAAGGCACTGTCTGTATATATATATATATATATATAGTAAAGACCAAAAGTTTGGACACACTTTCTCATTCAATGAGTTTCATCTCTTTTCATGGCTATTGAATGTAGATTCAAATCTACAAATAGCCCTGTGTAAGTGACCAATAAGGAGAGTGATGGTGCTGGGCCAGATGACCTGGCCTCCACAGTCACCGGACCTGAACCCAGTCCAGATGGTTTTTGGATTGACTTGAGGATACGATAGTTGCGGAATGTTTTCTTATGAGTTTAATAAAATACTAAAATAATCAATCCAATTAGTCTATGTAAATCTATATCATTGTTATATTAAAGCAATCCATTAGTTTATTATAATTAAAGTAAATTTCTCCTTTGTGAGATAAATAAAGCATATCTTATCTTAATTGATCACTTCTACACAAAAATATGAATAAATACATAATTAGAGACATGTGAAAACCCAGGAAGACCTCAGATTTTAAAAGCAGACGGTAGCGTAGCAAGTGTGATTTTGAAAAATAGCGCAATTTTGCAACAGAGAAATGAAGGATAACTGGGCAGTCCCGTGTGAATCAATGCAATAGATTTACCTTCAGGTCGAACGGAAAGACGGCGAAGAAATGAACCGAGCACAATAAACGCACAGGGCTTAATGAAGGGCAGGAAATAACTCAAGAGATCACAACACGAGGGCAACGACGGACCAACGCAACCAGGAGAGAGGGAAGAAGTGAACGCTAAAGATAATAATGAGAAGAACAATCCCGTGAGCACAATATGCAAACTCGGACATATAAAGAAATTCATGAAAAGGAAAACTTAAATTATATTTACATGGAGAACAAAGTATGTACATAATATAGTGGTCACGCCAGAGGAGCAAAAGGGGGCACTGGCCAAAAAAGTGTAGGAGATGGCATTTGTTGTTTATTTGGTGTGTGTGTGTGTGTGTGTGTGTGTGTGTGTGTGTGTGTGTGTGTGTGTGTGTGTGTGTGTGTGTGTGTGTGTGTGTGTGTGTGTGTGTGTGTGTGTGTGTGTGTGTGTGTGTGTGTGTGTGTGTGTGTGTGTGTGTGTGTGTGTGTGTGTGTGTGTGTGTGTGTGTGTGTGTGTGTGTGTGTGTGTGTGTGTGTGCGTGCGTGCGTGCGTGCGTGCGTGCGTGCGTGCGTGCGTGCGTGCGTGCGTGCGTGCGTGCGTGCGTGCGTGCGTGCGTGCGTGCGTGCGTGCGTGCGTGCGTGCGTGCGTGCGTGCGTGCGTGCGTGCGTGCGTGCGTGCGTGCGCGCGCGCGCGCGCGCGCGTGCGTGCGTGCGTGCGTGCGTGCGTGTATAGTGTGAGTTTGTGTGTGACCTGTAATGATGAGGCACTCGTTGCTCTCCAGCGCCTCAGTGAACAGGCGAGACACGATCAGTTCCGGGTTGATGACGAAGCGGATCTCTTCCTGGACCAAACCGTGTCCCGTCACTCCCCCGCCCACGAACCGGTTTGCAAAATCCACCTAACAACACACACACACACATACACACACACATACAAACACGCACGCACACGGACGGACACACACATACACAAAGATGAGACTCAATTCAATATATTGAAAGATGTAATTCAATTCTTGAGTAAAAATGTGTGTATTCTAGAAGTTCTGTGCTATATGTACAAATGTCTCTCTACTGCCATCATTCTGACCATAATTCGATGACTGAACCGTTATTCTCGTCTCCTCTTCCTACACGTAAACAATTACAGCATATCAGGAGGCCATAAAGATGGAATCTCTGTTCTCGGGATAGATGACTTCCTTTGGACTTGAGATTGCAATTTTGCTGGGCAGGGACACCACTAGAACTGGAATTATACTAAACCTTTTTTTTCCCCCCCAATACATTTTTGCTAGACCGGACTTAATCAAATTGCAACGCTTATGCAAAATTCAAAAAACAAAAAGCACATTAGGTTTTAATGTTGAGCGCTGCACAAGACTTTATTACAATGCGTTATTTATTTTTTGCAGTAATAAAAAGTATATTAAAAGCATCAGTTGCTATTAACCACTGTCTTCTTGTCATCACTTTTAGCAACAGCTTTCCAGCGACCTCTTCTTTGTACAGAGCAGTAAATTAAGGCTCAAGAGTAAATTAAGCTCATGAGGGAATGGGGAATCAAACAGAGACATAAACTATGGCTCACATAGCAGATCGAGTAAATAATCAAAGTGAATGTATGAATTGCTATCACCATAATTACATACAGTATATCCGCAATGATTTATAATATTTCAGGATTGTAAACAATAAAATAAAAAGCAACATACAGTTCATTTCAAGTTGCAACAGAGCTAACATGCACAGCTACAGCCTACTACTGTTCAAGCAGTTTAGCGCTATATACTAACAATCAAATTATTCCTTATTTTTGTTATGACCCTATCTTGTACGAACATGAAATTATCTTAGAATAACATGAAATTATCATGAAATAACATGATACCAGCGGGAAAAAACCACACTCACAAGTGAACCCAACACACTTCCGTAGAAAATAAATAAATATAATAATGAAATATATGTTATATTGTGTTTATTGCACAGCTTAATATAGATCCAAAATTAAAAAGATCGGGTCTATTGACTTCTTTGAAAGTCAGCGACCATTGGGAGGAAGTAAGGAGGTGTACATTTAAAATTATTGCTCCGACGTCATAGTTATACAGAAACGCTGGTGCAGGCAGAATACAAATGTTATCTCCTCATTATGACAAAGAAAGCTAGACCGACTCAGTCAATTTAATACCTGGGTTTAGCGTTACGTTTTTGATTTAAGTGACCTTGATATTTGTTACTTTTATTATTATTATTGTATCAACGAAGCTATAAATATTGATGTCATCAAGTGATCTTCAAAACATTTTTAGAACCCATATCTCAAAATACAACATATCTTGCAATGAAAGGCTTGAATTCTCATTTCAGATTCTCAAACGGGACACTTGTTTTTGTAGTGGCGTCTTGCTGCTTAGTAGGCATGTCACTATTGGCAGTCAGAGGTGGGGGTCCTGCTCAGTGGCCCTTGTCTGCGTCAGTGTGGTGACAGTCCTAATGTTTGTATCTGCATCTCTCTTTCTTCACCCGCTCACTCCCTCAGCCCTGGCCTCACCCCTTCACCCCTTCACCACTCCATCTCACCCCCTGACAGGATGACAGCCTCAGCGGGTCACCCCGGAGAGCTCTGCGGCCGTCCCATCCTCTCCCACGGGTCCTCTGCTGCCCCCTATGCCCCTCCAAGTTACCCATGTGTGTACATCAGCTGTCCAACAGAAACCTGATGAGCTGATGCACTCTACTTTCACATGGTCAGTTTTTATGAGGAAAAGAGGACATTTGGATGGGTGGTATTAAGACGTAATGAGTGAAATCAGAGTTTAAAACAATAACTTAAAGCTATCATTTGTTGGTTTGCCGTCACCCACACTTCACCTGATCTAAGGTCCATGGGCTCTTCTGTCAGGCCCAAACAGGCAAACTAATCCACCATCAGAGAGATAGCATGTAATGCTCACATGCAAGAATGACATGGTTTAGCAAATTAATTAAATCATATTCAATTAAAAGATCTTTTTTTTCTCCAAATAAAGTGCATAGTTTACAAGTCTTTCACTTTATCTTTCAAATAAAGGGGTGGTCTCCTTTGTTTAAGTTATGCTAAGCCAAAAATGTATGCACCTGTTTGTTCAACTGGGTTTTTGTGCAGCTTGTATCTCATTATACATTTAAATCGCTACTTTCCCAGTCTTAACTGATTTTTGATACTCGAGTACTCCAGATTTCAGTGTAGTCTCAATATAATTATTGTAAATGTTCTTTTTCATCTTTTGATAAAAAGATAAAGCCTGCTCAGCTCTCTGCTCTGTTTCATTTAACCTGGAATGTTCCACAGGATGACATTAAATCTATCTACCTGCAGGCGGCCGCATCACTGTGAGGCAGTTTGCAGATTTGAGCAATGTGCAGTAGAAAGAAACACCTCAAACAATGAGGTGTCCTCAAAAAATGTCCTCAAAAATATGAAGACAGAAGTGTGACACATGTGGAGTGAGTTTGGAAGACGCTTTGTGCTTTGTCAAACGCAGGTGCAGTGTTTTGGTCCAGTTTTAAAATGCCTGGTTGTCCAAACTGACAAAGTGCACAAAGGCGCTCGCACCTGCAGCATCCCGTATCCACCGTCCTCAATGGTCCCCTTACACGTGATGTGTAGACGCGTCAGCTGACTCTGAGAGCTGCAGGACACAACACACTATGAGACGACAACTCAAAAACAAAACTGTTTTCAACAGTCAGTCTCTAAGCACGCACAGGTCTGATTAATGTCATCTTTTCATTTCATTTGTTATATAGTTTCATGTTTTCAGAATATTGATAAACGGGGAGAGCAAAAACTTAATTGATTGTTTCATAAATAAATGTATGAATCATTCATAAAGTGACATACCTTTCCCAGTCTGGTGAAGTAGCTAGTACTTGTCTTGTAAATGTAACCAAACCCGTTGGCCCTGGAAAATGAGAAATACAATAACAGATCTCAAGTATAAGAAGAGGAAATAAGGAAAAGCTGACTCACTGTTTTGTGTAACTCTCCTGAAGTAACACAACAGGGTTTTCAACTTCTCAATCTTCCTCGTAGAAGAACCTTCAAATAACCTGGAAATAGTTCATATGGATTATCAAATCATATATGACACAATAGAACACACAATAATACACTCTAAACTTAATTTCAATATGGTGATAAGAAAAACACTCGTATAGCGCAGACCTCGATCAAGTGGCAAAGGGCCATCTCTTAAATTCATTCCTGGATCCAGTTTAATCATTAGTTCAAGTTCCATTTCTGAGACAAACAAATCCTGGCATTTAATAAAAACACAAAAACGGTCATCTTGAAGTCTAAGAAGTATTTCATATAATGTGTGTCTTATCATTTCAGATAAGACACACTCCGATTGTGTCTTATCTATGAGTGTATACGTATCAGAACCACTATTGATTGTTTTGGAAACCCTCTGCAGAAGGAAAGTGAGTTTTGTAGTATGCACACACAATGGCGCTGTCCTTGGTCCTGATTCATTAAATAACAACATCACTTGGCTAAAGCACTCACAAAACATAAGTCATGTTTATTCAAAAGTTGTTCCTCTTCCTGAGAAGACATTATAGACAGCTGAAGTATCCAATCAGGGACACACATGGCCTTCCAAACAAATATATATTGTTGGAAGAAAAAAAAGAAAAGCCAAATTCTATATCAGCTGCTCCTGCAAGGCTTCATATATTTTGGCTCAGCCTCAGAGTGCGACAGTGTGGAATACTGTCGCAGATCATCAAAATATGAGCATCTGCATTTGCAAGGCATCTCAACCCATTCGCAGTCCCTGCAGAACATCTTTATTGTGATGACTCATTTCCCAATAGCAGCATCAAGCTATTACATATTGTCTTTGTAAGGTTCAAAAAACAATTATTCCATTACTAAATGAGAACCATTTCAATAATCGATTATTTGCGATTCATTGATTCACTTGGTACAGCCTTGTCAAAGTTGACTTGAAATATACCACCAGATCGAAGGCCTACACAGGAAACACATCTTGAGTAATACCTTTGTGGCCAACACCAGTGGCTACCAGACTCTTTCAATAACATGTGTTTCTCTTTGTCATTTTCTGCTCAAACTGAAGAAACCTGAGAGACAGCACCTCAGCCCTTTTCCACCCCTTCCATCTATCCATCACTTAACGGAGGACAAACCCTGACACTTCTGCCAAAACAGCAATCAGCAGATTGCTTGCCGCTCTGCTCGTCCAAGACAGAGTGCTACTGTAGCCGATAAGCAAAGTGATGGACACTCCCTCAATTACAGCGGCGAGAAAGAAAGGGCGGGGGGTAACGATCCACACGCCGTTTTCTCACGTCTCATCTTCTTCAGCCAAAGCATTCCTTTACTCAACTTTTGTCCTGTTGTGTTTGTGGGGAACAAGGTGATGTGGAGTGGACTGGGTATGCGGAGAGCCGGTCAGAAGGAGCCACCGCCGGGATCGATGCTTACATCATTAGCGCCGCCCTCGTCACGATTCCGACATGGGCCCAGATAGCAGCCACTTATACAGATGACCGATTGTCACGGGAGCCCAGAGGAGCAGATAAAAGCCACAAGAGCAAGCGATCCATGTGAACAAGCTACGTGATCAATATGCCGGTCTGATCATAAAACAGGCTCCGGGGAGAAGAACGGCTAATGGGATTAACCAGGGGACATGTAGATTACAGGGAATATGGGAAGAGGAGCTAAAATGGGATTTGTGTACGGCCTAAACAGATCAGCGACAGAATGAAAAGAGTTCTAAATCTGAAGATGATATACATACATGTATGTATATGTATATATACATACATACATACATACATACATATACATATATACAGAGGGGCAAAAAAGTATTTAGTCAGCCACCGATTGTGCAAGTTCTCCCACTCAAAATAATGACAGAGGTCTGTAATTTTCATAATAGGTACACTTCAACTGTGACAGACAGAATGTGAAAAAGAAATCCAGGAATTCACATTGTAGGATTTTCAAAGAATTTATTTGTAAACTATGGTGGAAAATAAGTATTTGGTCGCGTAACGCGTACATATTTTTTTAACGCATTAACGCATGTCCGAATGACCCGCCCATTTATCCATAATAACACTCAGAATGGACAGACTCTCCCACCTCAGCTGTAGTTATCTGCAGTTCATCCAGAGTGATCATGGGCCTCTTGGCTGCATCTCTGATCAGTCTTCTCCTTGTTTGAGATGAAAGTTTTGAGGGACGGCCGGGTGTTGGTAGATTTGCAGTGGTCTGATACTCCTTCCATTTCAATATAATTGCTTGCACAGTGCTCCTTGAGATGTTTAAAGCTTGGGAAATCTTTTTGTATCCAAATCCAGCTTAAAACTTCTCCACAACAGTATCTCGGACCTGCCTGGTGTGTTCCTTTGTCTTCATGGTTCTCTCTGCGCTTTAAACAGAACCCTGAGACTATCAAAGAGCAGGTGCATTTATACGGAGACTTGATTACACAAGTCTATTTATCATCATCAGTCATTTAGGACAACATTGGATCATTCAAAGATCCTCACTGAACTTCTGGAGTGAGTTTGCTGCACTGAAAGTAAAGGGGCCGAATAATATTGCACGCCCCACTTTTCAGTTTTTTATTTGTTAAAAAAGTTTAAATTATCCAATAAATTTTGTTCCACTTCACGATTGTGTCCCACTTGTTGTTGATTCATGACAAAAAATGTAAATTTTATATCTTTATGTTTGAAGCCTGAAATGTGGCGAAATGTTGAAAGGTTCAAGGGGGCCGAATATTATATATATATATATATATATATATATATATATATATATATATATATATATATATATATAAAAGTAGAAATATGAGTCACTTAAATGTCCCAGAGCTCTGTGCTGGTCTGCCTCTCATGAGTAGGCAGAAAAAGACAACAGCAATCTACCACTCCCACTGGCACCCCCTCCCACTGTCTAGACTTGGAATGGACTCTGGGCCAAGGGAACACCCACATGCAATCAACTATCAAACTATGGTACAGTCACTGATTCCTTTGTTTAGTAAAAGAGAAATTTTCACCATGGATTCCTTTTTACAATCAAAAATGTAGGACAAAAACAATATATTATGAGAGGTCCCAATAGTTTCTTTAAAGTTCCAGTTCACTGCGGTGTAGAGAAGAGAAGAACTTGCAGCAAACTGGAGGACTGAGCAGTGGTGGACCAGTGCTGTGGCACTCTCATTTACTAAAACAAACATGGAGCTGTATGTAGTGGAGTCGTACCTGTAGAAGTTAATCTCTGGGTAGTTGCAGTACTCTGATTTCCGAGAGTTTCGTCTGGGGAATGTGCAGAAGAAGGCGTTGGCCAGCAGACAAGCGATTTGCTCCTGAGACAGCGTCAGGGAGTGGTTCATCCGAGACTTGAGTAAAGGTATGGGCTGCCGAAGAGATGTCAATCAAAATTATTTCATAGCTAATGATTTCCTGTAGTTCATATCTGTCTACGTGGGTCACATGTGATACAGGTAGGCAAAACATACTAGGACACAAAAATACCTGCGCCAGAATTCCAGGCAGGGACCCAAAGCAGATCCAAAATCAAATTAGGGTTGAGGTGAAACTGGGCTACTCTTTGTGGCACCCGTGTTGTTTACAGTGGTCCCAGAAGAGAAATCCATGTGGGACCCCTGTATGGCTCAACTGCCAATCCAGTATTGTATTTTATTTATTTATTGATTCATTAAAGGGACAGTGCATACCAATAAACATCAGAATTAGCCTAAGGGCTATTTTCCATCTATAGTCCCAGGACAGTTATGTGTCCTCCTGAAGGGAATAAAATGACACATAACAAAATATTTTGTATCCATACATTTGTAATTTGAGATATCAATATTGCAACAGGTAGAAAGTGTCTTTCCGAAGAATGCTGGTCAAATAGAAAGTAAAATAAAAAAAATCCAAGAACAAATCTATGTCCTCACTATTGATGTGCAACCACTCCAATATGTTTAATTTTTATTTTCAGGGTAAGAACTAAAAGACATCGGCAACTATCCCCACTAGAGAAGAGTCATAACAATAACTAGAGGTGTGCTAAACAATCCTTCCAATGACACATCAACATTTAGAGATTAAACTGCAGTATCCAGTATTAGTGTGAGCTATGAGCCCCACGTCACTCTGGTGCGGGCCGTGCGTTTGATCTCGGGGTTACCACATGATTAGTTTAGCAGTCCAGAGTGGAGGAGAGACAAGGCGAGTTCCATTAGCTAAATTGGTGGCAGTAATCAAGGTCCTGGTTTCAGTCCGACCCACAGGACTCATCCATCTGCACTGATTAGAGCTAAAGAGCCTCCCTAAGGCTGCCCAGTTAGCAGATCAATACAGCCTCTAATAACACACACACATAAACATTAGCCTTGACGTTAGCGCTACCACACACTGCAACCACTTCAGGGCAAAGTAGGGAACTCCCACTCTGAGCAACAAGTTAGCATTGGGATTTTTAGATATGTCTGCTGACTTTATGAATAGCATTTACAACAAAATATTTTAGGATTTTTCTTGTCGATGGAGTTTTTGAGCTGTCTTAGTGAAATAGCACATTAGGCTTATAATTAAAAAAGTGTTCCTTGATGCAAACATGTAATTTTGGTATTGATAAGATGATTAGACAAATGCCAAACATGAAGAAATTCGAACAGTATTTAGAATGAATGATAGCAGATATAAAATTAAGACAAATGGACTTGGCATTTAAGGAACTGTAACATTAATCAACTAAATTGGATAACAGTTATATTGGGAAAGGAATCAACTATGATTTTCCAGGAATATTGGAAAAACCATTTTGAGTACTTTTGACCTTACCCTTTATTTGGCCAATTAGTTATTGTTTTACCAACGTTACTAATTTGTCATCGCTCTGAAAGCCGTGGATAGATGAAGCCGTGAGTGAAACAAAAATCTTGGAATCTTCAAAAGTGCAAAAGCATTACACATCAAATGGATGACCAGGCAGCAGACAGGACTAAGGGAGCAGAGGTCTATTTTTTAATGAAGCAATTTGTGATGTGGACCAAAAAGGTCTATTCGTTACATCCTAGTAGTGAGTCATGAGCCAATCCAGTAGAACGTCGACTATTCAATCTTCAATAGCAGTTTAGACGCCAACTCTGACTCTGCTTTCCCCTCGTCTGACATTTACAGATACAAATTTAGTATGAGGGCTTTGTGGCTCAGGTGCAGCTGTTTTTAAGTCGCTGCACAAGACTTTTAACAATGCAAAAGTGACGCCTTAAACCTGGCTCAATGAGACTGTGATTAGAGTGATTTGAATGTGACGTATTACAGAGACCATGGTATTTCCGTAAGATGAAAAGTGAGAAAGGGGTGTCACCGCCTGTAATGGGTTCTTTTTCACAAACTCATGGCTGGGTCGGCATTGGACATAGTGGGAAAGTGCACAAAAATGTATTTACAAAGCACAATGAAAAGTCTTCAGGCCAAAACAATATTCACAAAAAAAATATAGACGACTCTCTACTATAAATCTTGTTTTTCCTGACTCTCAATCTCGGTCCTGCTGTCAACGTTTCCTTCTGCGTAAACAAGCCACGACTGCCTCGGGGCAGACAAGCACTCATTAAATATCCCTGCTTACCCCTCCCACGTTACATCCTACAATAGCAATCATCCTTATATCTACAATATCTACTTTCTCAAAGGTTCATGATTTCATACATTTATCAGTGTTCTGTATAGATTACACTTGTCCAGCTGCAAACTAAGAAGACTAAAAATGTAGTCCACATGACCCACAGACTCCACCAGACTGGTGTATTTAAGCAACAGGTCAAACAGTCCGGGTTTGCCAAAACGCACCACGGTGAAACCATGGAAGACCACGGAGATGGCAGCACACAGGCGAGTGAAATTACAAATAGTGAGATTGAACTGCACCATGCAATGCTTCCGAGTGTGCACCCTGAAGACGCGTTAGCGCAAGCTACATGTGATAAACACAGTCCCTGTGGAGGCAGTGATCAATATAGGGGGTTTTGGGGGCGTGGCGCACACACACCATGGAACCAGGCACGCATCCTCACATGCACTCCGTGGGACACCGTGCTCAGGGCTCACCCTGTCACAGCCCTTTCCCTGTTTATTTGTTTAATTACCGCAACAAAACTGTTTGCACCATTGAGTAAACAGCATTAGTGTATTTGCTTATCCCCTCGTTCACTTTCTGTCGCTCCACATACGTCATCAGGTTGATTTGATATAATTGGCTACGAGCCACATGTACACATACAGGAGACCTAAGAAAAGGAATGGAAGGTTTTGGGCTTCCATATTCTGTAATATTTAAGTGTTCCTCATTATTTATGCATGTATTAATATTCCAACAATAAATCTAATTTTTGTTTTTGTCAATATTGCCAACCCCTACTGTAAATTGTTGTATTTTGATACATTTTAAATGAGCATATTTCATTACAGTCACTTCATAAACAACATTTGAGGAGTCAAATCAAACATACCATTGTGCAGATGTGTGGAGCGCTGAGTGCCAGGTCCACCATGGCGGGCAGCACCACCTGCAACATGTGCTGCGCCTCGGAATGCTCCAGATACTGTAACAAAGGACAATAAATACAGCTTTTATAAGAGAACGTGACACTATCTATCTGCACATACAACAACAACAATATGGACCATAATTAATGTTATTATGTAAAAAAAACTGAAAACTGAAAATCACTTTTGTATATATAATAATTTCTGACTTTGTGTTTTTCATGGTAACTGGTGATGCAATACTTAGTTGCATCCAATTAAATTTAGGTAAGCGGCTGGAGATGAAACATGAACTAAAAACAACACTGTAAATCTCTCTACGTTTTTTCAGAAACTAAAATTAGAGTGGATGACAAATGATGTTAATAGAGAGCACATGATTGATACAAGCGAGGAAGACCATGCAAACAACTCTTGTATGAGACTATTTAGGACCGGGACCACATTATCCCAGTGTTAAAATCCCTGTATCAGCTCCCAGTGTGTTTCAGGATAGATTTTAAGGATTTATTGCTAGTTTATAAAACTCTTAATGGCCCTGGACCTTCTATTCTCTCATTCTACACATTTCATGTTGTAGAATGTGAAATAATATCTCCGGTAGAAAATATTGTAAAACAAGTATCAAGGGTTAAAAATGCTATTGGTCTTCCCTTTCCCTATGCTACCACCTGAGGGAGTTGTTGTTGTTTTGCAACCTGCTACCACTGCCATGCAAATGTAAGCAACATAATTTCACTTGAGAAATTGCTACATTTATTTATAGGAAATGGTTTGATGACATTGTGGTATCAAGACATAATACTATTACAGGACTAAGACAATATTTTAGTCAGAAGGGGCGGAGTTACACAGAAGTGCTGGCTATACACAAAAACCAACAATGCTTAAGGGTTTTAATGCATACAAAACAAATAATGAAACATAACTTCTTACTGTAAAGTTGCTCAGCACATTTGAACCTCTATTAATCTCGCATTGGTCTTACCTCATCCATACTTCACCCTATAGCTTACCTCAGCACGCATCTGCAATTCCCTCCAAAATAAACATCCAGTTACACGATCATAGATTTACAACGCAATTACTTATGAGCGTATTGGCTTCGAATGTCGCCACCATCGATCACGCAGGCCATATTCTATCAAAGCGAGTGGAGGAGCCTGGTCTGATTAAAAGCGCACCTGTTCCCGGGGTCAAAAATGCAAACGAACAATTGTGGAGATCGAGATGGTTAGGGGAGTTTAAACAGGGAGTATTTGGTGGGGCGATTCGTCTATAGGGTTAGGGTTATATAGCAGGGGAGAGGGCCCGACTAAAAGCTGTCAGAACTAATGAGCTAGCAGACACCATAAAGTAGTCCTGCATGTGAGAGTAATGGAGGACATTGGGGATGGGGCTGGTTGAGGGGAGAAAGATGATCCTTGCTGTTCGGATTGCTTAAGCAGCTGGATTGAGCGGTGCGCAGTGTGAGTTGGGAATTTATCAGCGTGTGTGCAAATGAGGCAAATACAAAAGTGTTTCTAGGTAGAAGTGGGATTTGCGTGCGAAATGTGAATAAATGTTGCTATACCGCCATGGATAGTTGCAGACATTATCGGTCGACTAAATTAATTCCTTCTCGATCAATGGGCCGTCTCAAAAGTTCTCAAAACTATTCATTATTTAACGGACCTTAACTGTATTCACAAAACATTTGGCATACAATTACATTAATCAGTTATTTAATAAAGCAGTAAACCCAACATGGAGTGTAAAACTGAATGTTTCATATTAAACCATTGCCTAAACGACTGACAACGACAGCCTGAGATGATTGGGTGTATGGTATGATTTGATTTAATATAATAAAAAATGTTTGTTTGAAGAAGAAAGCATGTAAAAAAGCAATGAGACCACTGTAAACCCCAACTTCAATTGTACTTCAGATATCAAAGTTATTTTAAATAGATTTTTCCCAGTAAGTAAATATTACTCGATTATTGTTAGTTTATTTAAAGCTTGGCTATATCACTCAGGGTTTTCTTTGAATTGATTTTGAACTGTCTCTGTTCAAGTAAGCCTCACTTTTGACATTCTGACGTGAAGACTCTTTAATAAGGCAGGTGTATCAATGACAGGGTGGCCCGGTGGCTGAGTGGGTAGCACCGTCACCTCTCAACTACAAAATTCTGAGTACGAATCCCAGTCGGAGCTTAAGTTGAAATTTAAACTTTATTGCAATCACTTGAGTTTACTTGGTAATATCACGTAAAGGATGTACTCGAAGAATTCAAGTGAAGTTAATATGCAATTTATTTCCATGGTTTTTTCAAGTAAACTTTACTTGTCAGGGTTTACATGCACTGCACAAGAAACTTGTGTTATAAAGCAATTAAAGCCTTATTGTAATAAATACATTTTGAGTAGCTTACTCAAAAGAGAGAAAATCTTAAATATATAGATGGATGTATTTGTAATTTCACATTCAAAGTACTGTCATTATAATAACGTTGTTAGTTGTACTATTGTGAACAGTAAAGCACTTTTAGTGCAGACCACCGCCTCAAAGTCCAGAGAGTTGCTCACAAACAGGCACACACAGGTTATCCCTTTACCTCTTGGGGCGAGGGAATTACACAGTGGCATTTGTCTTACTTTGATTCTCTTTACTGGGGTAAATGGGATAAATATTTGGGTGTAAATCTATGCTGAACAATGAAAGGTGTATGTCTCCCTTGACAGTAACCATGTGTGTGTTGAGTGCTGCTCCTGCTGGGTGGAGCCTGTTGCCTCAGCAGGTGCAGCTCCTCATCTCTCACACATTCATCAGACAGTGACACTCTGACAGTTTCATTTGGCCAGCCAGCACCACACTAAGACAATTTATAGACAAGCTCTAATTTGGCTAACTCTTTTTTACCTGCAGCTATTACTCATGGAAGTGCTTGTCAATCACTCTGCCAATGTACCGGCTGAATATTTTACAGGGCATTGTTGGTTTTCCGCGTAAAGGGAAAGAAAATATATGGATTCAAAACTTTGTTTGTCATGGTGACTAAAAACCTCCATTTGACTTCATTATGCAGACTAAAGCTTCACGAGTTCAAATAATAATAATAATAATAATAAATAACAATTTATCTGTTGTATAGTGCTTTTCTGGACATTCAAAGACACTTCACATTATTTTCACTCTATATGCAGTAGGGATAAATATAGCCACCGCTGCCCTGGGGCCAGTATGTGCCATCGGCCCCTCAGACCACCACCAATCATTCACACACACACCAAACTCATTCTTGGCAATGTGGGTGAAGTGTCTTGCCTAAGAATACAAAGGCAGTTCAGCACTTTACAGCTGCAGCCGTAGAGTGCCCCCGTTGACTAACCAGGCCCGGCCCGCCTGAATGAATGTGTCATCATTCATTCTCTCAATACAGTGTGGTGGTACATTACTGTAGCCTTAGCCTAGTTTTTGCTAGTCTAGAAACTAGGTGCCAATCTGCACCACTGTCCCCTCTGTTCACCAGCAACACTGTTTCCTAGAATGAATCTGGTTAGTGACAACGTGTCTTGCCTATGGACACAATGACAGTTTATAAGTGGTCCGACAGGCTTCAATGAGATGGTTTGGCCAGTACAGTGACATTAAATGGCACTCAAAGGACTAATATACACGTGATAGTAATAATTGATCCATCATTTAATGCAAAAAGAAAGTTGTTCATAATGTAGATGTTTGTGCAGCTAAATACTGGAACAGTCTTCAAGAAATTGTGAGACAGGCTTCTACTCTGACCATGTTCAAATCCAGGTTAAAAACAGTTCTGTTTAGCTGAGCATACAACTGAAGGATTATATCTTTACTCTTTTTAATGTGTATAATTTTAATGTTTCTTTTCTTGTTTTGTAAAGTACTTTGAGTTGTATTGTCTATGAACTGTACTAAACAAATAAACTCGCCTAACCTAATATATTTATTGTAAATATTTATCAGACTTTAAGTATCCACATAAAAGTGGCAGAAAGAATCCAGCCCAGAAGCGCTAAGTGAATGGGCACTTAGGAGTTGCAGATGGAACGCACCGCTTTTCGATGGAGGGTGCCTTGGTTGCTGGCAGTACTTAGCATTTTTATGGATTTAAAGTGCTCCTTTTAATTAAATTGGATAAAGCCATAAAAACACCCACGCAGCTATTGATCAAGCTAGCGCCCTGCCCCATGCTGAGATATTGTTTCACATCAAAGAGAGAAAGTGTTTTTGGCATAATCTGTATTAAGCATTAGCAATTTTCTTATTGCTCCAGAAATCTCTACTGTCCAGACTAACAGTAGGTCTGTAACAATGGTGACATATGAATAATATTGTTTTTACTGTGGCTACAAAGTAAGACATCTTAAACTATTAGAAATTTTCAAATAATGAACATACGTTTAAAAGACATTGAAATTAATTGTGATTTCAAAGTATGTATATTTAGAAAGTGAAAAAATGCTGATAATTTCCAAAAGTAAGACACGGTTTCTTTTACACTTTAATATAGAGACAACATACACATGGTCTCAGAGGAAAGGGTCACTCCAGTAAGCATTGTGTTCGGATAATATTTTTGACATAATGTGATGAATAACAACGCCACATGGGAGAGATACCTTTACCAACAGGTAATTAGAAACATAAACTGTCAAATGATACGGAGCTGAAGAGCGACAGGCGCGAGAGGCATTCCCCCGGTTCACCTGCTCCAGCTGCTGCCGCTGAGCTCCTGGAGCAGATGTGCTAAGCTAACGGTGTGGTGCAAGGGGGCTCCTCTGAGATCCACAGGAAAAACAAGAGACAACAGATCTTTGTGGAGGAACTGACACAGCATTTTAGACAAATGTTTGGAAGGAACTGCACGATACACTATCTGCTTGTGTCTGCTTTACTTTTTAAAGATATCATACAGTGTATGAGCCACACTACAAGCATGAGCATGTTTCTCTCTTTCAAGCAATAACCAGAGTAGGGTAAAAGAGAACCAGCCCAGAACCAGAGTAACAGAACCAGTCCAGAGAAGGGTGGGGTGATGAATATAAGCCTGAGTAATGCTGAGGAATTGTTTGTTTTCTAAAATGTTACTTTTGTTTTCTGATGTATGTTCCTTTCAATCAGTTTGATCAGAATATGACACAAAGAGCACCCTCGAAATAACGTGAAAAAACATGAAGATAGTAACTTTAAAAGGATGTGATTTATGTCACATGCTCTTCTCCTCGGGGACATTACTACTGCGTTACCAGGAATGTTGCATCAATTTGAATTACACCAAGAAAAGTCAGATCTGTGAGAAGATTCAGTAAACGATTATACAGTTTTTTTCAATTGAAAACAAGTATTTTCACTTTCTACAATGAACCTGTAGTAGTAGTAGTAGTATTAGTAGTAGTAGTAGTAGTAGAAGGATTATATAATAAGTAATTAAAAAAGAATGATTAGACGTAATTTAAAGTGACATGCATACATCACCATCAGCTCACTGACCTCTGTACAGAGCAGGTTCAGGGCTGTGAAGTCCCATTTCTTTGCATGTGCCGTGTTGTACCTCAGGATGGCATCCTGGAAGAGGACAAAGACACATTTAGACAAATCAAATAATCATAGCTGACATCTGACCCACAGATTTCGGCTAGTTGAATCAGAGAATGGGCTTTGTGACTGTTGTGCTCAGGGTCTATCCAGTGTATTAGGCAAACCCTGCCATCTAGTGGTGGTTTTTGTATTTTCTTCTGTTCTGTTCTCAGGTAAAACAAACATTGATTATCACCTGAACAAAGAACAGCAGGCTTCTCTGCAGAGCCATACAATAAATGAAAATATCACATTACAAGCATTCCTCTAGATGCTTTTACCTAAAGTGTTAAAGAAACAGCCCATGTCTGTTTTGCTATAACCTCTGTGTCAAATTATTTTGAATTCGCTTTTGTCTCTACAAGCTAACAACAAAGGCTGATGTCTTAACACATTTTGGCATCCACTCTGGGATAGAAATATTTGTATACAATTCGTTCTCACAATGTAAATGTGGATGTGTGATTTTATTGCACTGTGATGTCTAAACTATTTCCATCCATCCATCCATCCATCCATTTTCTTCCGCTTTATCCGTTGCCGGGTCGCGGGGGCAGCAGTCTAAGCAGAGACGCCCAGACTTCCCTATCCACACACACCTCCTCCAGCTCGTCCGGGGGGACCCCAAGGCGTTCCCAGGCCAGCTGAGAGACATAGTCTCTCCAGCGTGTCCTGGGTCTTCCCCGGGGCCTCCTCCCGGTGGGACGTGCCCGGAACACCTCCCCAGGAAGGCGTCCAGGAGGCATCCTGAACAGATGCCCGAGCCACCTCAACTGGTTCCTCTCGACGTGGAGAAGCAGCGGCTCTACTCCGAGCTCCTCCCGTGTGACTGAGCTCCTCACCCTATCTCTAAGGGAGCGCCCAGCCACTCTGCGGAGAAAGCTCATTTCGACCGCTTGTATCCGCGATCTCGTTCTTTCGGTCATTACCCAAAGCTCATGACCATAGGTGAGGGTGGGAACGAAGATTGACCGGTAAATCGAGAGCTTCGCCTTTCGGCTCAGCTCCCTCTTTACCACAACGGTCCGATACAGAGACCGCATAACTGCGCACGCTGCACCGATCCGCCTGTCAATCTCACGCTCCATTCTTCCCTCACTCGTGAACAAGACCCCGAGATACTTGAACTCCTCCACTTGAGGAAGGACCTCTCCACCCACCTGGAGAGGGCAAGGCACCTTTTTCCGGTCGAGCACCATGGCCTCGGATTTGGAGGTGCTGATTCTCATCCCAGCCGCTTCGCACTCGGCTGCAAACCGTCCCAGTGCATGCTGCAGGTCCTGGTTCGTTGGAGCCAACAGGACGACATCATCCGCAAAAAGTAGAGATGAAATCCTGTGGTTCCCGAACCGGACCCCCTCCGGCCCCTGGCTGCGCCTAGAAATTCTGTCCATAAATACAGTGAACAGAACCGGTGACAAAGGGCAGCCTTGGCGGAGGCCAACATGCACCGGGAACAGGTCTGACTTACTGCCGGCAATGCGAACACAGCTCTGGCTCCGGTCATACAGGGACCAGACGGCCCTCAGCAGAGGACCCCGGACCCCGTACTCCCGGAGGACCCCCCAAAGGACACCCCGGGGAACACGGTCGAACGCCTTCTCCAAATCCACAAAGCACATGTGGACAGGTTGGGCGAACTCCCATGAACCCTCGAGTATCCGATGGAGAGTATAGAGCTGGTCCAGTGTTCCGCGACCGGGACGAAAACCACACTGCTCCTCCTGAATCCGAGATTCGACCATCGGACGTAGCCTCCTCTCCAGTACCTTGGAGTAGACCTTACCGGGGAGGCTGAGGAGTGTGATCCCACGATAATTGGAACACACCCTCCGGTCCCCCTTCTTGTAGAGAGGGACCACCACCCCGGTCTGCCACTCCATTGGCACCGCCCCCGATCGCCACGCGATGTTACAGAGACGTGTCAGCCAAGACAGTCCTACAACATCCAGAGACTTTAGATAGTCAGGACGGATCTCATCCACTCCCGGCGCCTTGCCACCAAGGAGGCTGCCAACCACCTTGGTGACCTCGGCCAGGGAGATGGAAGTGTCCGCCCCAACATCCTCAGCCTCTGCCTCCTGAACGGAGGACGTGACGGGGGGATTGAGGAGAACCTCGAAGTATTCCTTCCACCGCCCGGCAATATCCTCAGTCGAGGTCAGCAGCCCTCCACCCGCACCATACACGGTGTTGGCAAAGAACTGCTTCCCCCTCCTGAGGCGCCGGACGGTTTGCCAGAACCTCTTCGAGGCCGACCGATAGTCATGCTCCATGAACTCTCCGAACTCCTCCCAGTCCCGGGTTTTTGCCTCTGCAACAGCCCGGGCCGCGGCACGTTTGGCCTGCCGGTACTGGACAGCTGCCTCAGGAGTCCCACGAACCATCATTGCTCGATAGGACTCCTTCTTCAGCCTGACGGCATCCCTTACTGCCGGTGTCCACCACCGGGTTCGGGGATTGCCGCCGGGACCAGCACCAGAGACCTTGCGACCACAGCTACGAGCCGCCGCATTGGCGATAGAGGAAGAGAACATGGTCCACTCGGACTCGATGTCCCCCTCCTCCGCCGGGACCTGGGAGAAACTCTCCCGGAGGTGTGAGTTGAAAGTCCGTCTGACAGGGGGCTCAGCGAGACGTTCCCAGCAAACCCTCACTATACGCTTGGGTCTGCCAGGTCTGACCGGCTTCTTCCCCTGCCAGCGGATCCAACTCACGACCAGGTGATGATCGGTTGACAGCTCCGCCCCTCTCTTTACCCGAGTGTCCGAGACACGCGGTCGAAGGTCAGATGATACGACAACAAAGTCGATCATCGACCTCCGGCCTAGGGTGTCCTGGTGCCACGTGCACTGGTGGACACCCTTGTGCTCGAACATGGTGTTCGTGATGGACAGGCCGTGACTGGCACAGAAGTCCAACAACTGAACACCGCTCGGGTTCAGATCAGGGGGGCCGCTCTTCCCGATCACCCCTCTCCAAGTGTCACTGGCATTTCCCACATGGGCGTTGAAGTCCCCCAGGAGAATAACGGAGTCCCCGGGCGGTGCACTGTCCAGTACCCCTCCCAAGGACTCCAAGAAGGCCGGGTACTCTGCACTACCGTTAGGCCCGTAGGCCGTCACAACAGTGAGAGACTTGTCCCCCACCCGGAGGCGGAGGGACGCGACCCTCTCATTCACCGGGGAGAACTCCAACACGTGGCGGCTGAGATGGGGGGCAATGAGTATGGCCACCCCAGCTCGCCGCCTCTCCCCGCGGGAAACACCAGAAAAGTGGAGCGTCCAACCCCTCTCAAGGAGTTGGGTTCCAGAGCCCAAGCTGTGTGTGGAGGTGAGGCCGACTATCTCTAGTCGGTATCGCTCAACCTCCCCCACAAGCTCGGGCTCCTTCCCCCCCAGTGAGGTGACGTTCCACGTCCCAAGAGCCAGATGTTGGGTGTGTGGACTGGGTCGTCGAGGTCTCCGCCTTCGACCGCTGCCCAAGTCCTCGCTGCACCACGCCACCACGGACCCCTCTGCAGGTGGTGGGCCCACAGGAGGGACTGAGCCCGGCCGGGCCCCGTGGGCTAAGGCCCGGCCACCAGGCGCTCGCTTGCGAGCCCCGACCCCAGGCCTGGCTCCAGGGTGGGGCCCCGGCTGCGCCATGCCGGGCGACGTCACGGTTTTCGTTGTTGTGCTGTCCATGGTTGGCTTCGGACTGCGCTTCGTCTGACTCGTCACTTGAGACCTGTCTGCCATGGGAGGCCCTACCAGGGGCATGAAGCCCCAGACAGCATAGCTCCCAGGATCATCCGAGTGCTCAAACTCCCCCACCACGTTAAGGTGGCAGTCCAAGGGGGACTGCCAACTATTTCCATTGTACTTTTATCATATTGTCTTGTCTTAATAGTGAATGTGTATATAATGTTCCCTGTTCTGAATGTTGTAAGTAGTCTTTATCCAAAGAATCAAGATTCAAAATCAATTTATCATGTCCCGAAGGAAATTTGACTTCCACTCACAGACTGCTACATGGATGCATGGGATGTACACATAGGGCAGACATAGCCCCATGAAACTACAGATGGAAACTAGCTATGAGCTAAATGAATTCACACCATGTACCATTTAAATATATAGATAGATGGATAAGATACCTTATTTCTCCCCCCAGGAGAAAATCTGGATTAATTACTCTGGTTTAAATCACTTACCCGCACATCTAGACTGCTTTTGAAACCTCCACGCAGGGCAGTGTGAATCAGCTCCCATCGGCTCTGTACTCCACCTCCATCCTGTTCCAACAATAGAATACTTATTATCTAATATTTTATTGATTGAATTATTAAAACACAGGGTCTTTTCTTCACCTCACTCTCCATAGGAAACAAATTCTTGTCGGAGCAGGGCATCTTCACAGACTGATCGTCCCATGTGTCTTTAAACTTGGTGGGGTATGCAACAGGAATCTCACCTTCTTTAAGGAGATCTGTCTACAAGCCACATAAATACAAATATAATGATAAATAAAGTTGCTGCAATATTATAAAATATATATTGTTAAAGAAACATATAGATCAATACAGCGCATGACTTACCCTGATGGAGATGGTGTGGTTAGGCACTACCTTCATGTGAGACAGAGGAGGAGCACACTGAGGCATTCGGTTTAGCTCGTCTATAGGAGTGCCCAGCCACCCTCTGTCCATGTCAAGCAGAGCAAAAGCAATGCTGCATAAATACAAGATCATTATGTTGGGGTTTTGTATAGGTTTAAGTCTGCTTTTAAAAATGTATAATACCTTTCTGTCTGGTTTTGAAAATGATCTGACTCGGCCGATTCACTGTACACTGATAACTGTGAATTGTCACTTCCCATAGAATCAAGGGCTTGGCTTTCTTTGGTTAAACTTTGACGCTGTGGGTGTTTGACAGGATGTGGCGTGTCTCCAAACTCTGACCCATCAGAACAGGCACTGCCTGCATACGTCCCATCTGTGGAGCTCTGCAGCATTTTAGAAACTGGGCTGTCCGGACTCAGCATCTCCACATCGTTTGGAGTCCTCACCCCTTTTAAAGGACTACTACTAAGACACAAGGTGAGTTTGGGATTCGGCGAGAGGCCCACAGAGGGGGCGCTGGCACCAGGCTGGGAAGCAGGTGAACTGGTTCTGGTTGATCTCTGCCCGTCGGAACAGCAAGTCTGCTTTCTGCTGCAAGAGTGGGGATGAGCAGATGCTACATCATCGTGTGCGGATGTTGTTGCCAAGTCTTCAGTGGTGTCCAAGAGTCCATCTTTGACATATGTTAGGCTTGGGTTTGTAACGGCATGGTTTACAATGCCTGCTTCAGCCTCAGTGGTGACACTGGCATGGAAACATTTGTAACATCCTTGTAAATAAAAACATTAGCTACATAATTGGAAAGGAAACACGGTGAACGCATGAAGTTACCCTGAGTGAGAATCCATCCTGTCTTCTTTACTGTATGATCCAAGATTTAAGTTTCTGCGTAGAAGACAAGTATCCCGTTAATGTAGAAGATATAAGGTGTGGCCTTTGTGAATCGATATGGCACGGTGTTATGATTACGTCACAACCAGGTTTCCTCCCCATTATGTCACTCTTGTCAATAATAAGCCAGTTAGCTAGTTTAAAAGGCCTGTGTGTATGTACTTAGCGTAACGCTGTCCGCTTTGCACCATGAATTAGCAGGTATTGTATATACATGTACATATAAGTTAGCCCAACACAAGAAGGTTGACATAACACACATTTGTAGCTAACACACTTGGATGTTAAATGTTAGCGTTATTAAGCTAGCTCCTCCACAAACATAAAAAATCAGCCTCTGAAAGATAAGAAATGCACTTACATGAATACCACTGTGTGTGAGACTTGAAGCTGAGTCTATAACATCTTATATTGTGTCCCGTTATTCCAAAACAGCCACGATAAAGCTGCATTTTCCACCTTGTTATTGCTTCTCTCCTCCGGTGTGTAACTGCAGTACAGTACAGGGGAGCCACTGGCCAATCAGAGCAGCCGGTAGATCACAAGAGGCGGGACCAATGCACGTATCCCGGCAGCCGCAAAACGTTCCAAATGTCGTGCATGATAGATTTTAATTTTTTATTTTTTTTAACCAGTCATTTCACATTATCATTTAGAAAGCAGAGTAAACGTTCAAATGGCAGTGATATAAAGTCAAGCATTATATGCATTTTTCACACATGTAATTAATGACACAATCACACACATAACGTACAGGGACGTGCGGTGAGGTTTGTGATTGGGGAGGCACTGACTTTAAAAGTCAGATTTACAATCATTATTCAAATAAAATAGCATTTAATCACCAATGCAATGACATCCACAAACTTTATATACTGTAAAGATAAGAGAACCAGCTTCTTTTAATAATCTCACAACAAATCTAGCTGCTGACTCTGCTCCGCATCAAACAACATCTTTAAGAAGCGCAGGTGCGAGAGACGCGAGGAGAGAGAGACGCGAGGAGAGAGGAGCAGAGAGAGACAGAGAGGAGCAGAGAGACGGAGACGCGAGGAGCAGAGAGAGACAGAGAGGAGCAGAGAGAGACAGAGAGGAGCAGAGAGAGACAGAGGAGCAGAGAGAGACGGAGACGCGAGGAGCAGAGAGAGACAGAGAGGAGCAGAGAGAGACGGAGACGCGAGGAGCAGAGAGAGACAGAGAGGAGCAGAGAGAGACGGAGACGCGAGGAGCAGAGAGAGACGGAGACGCGAGGAGAGAGAGACGCGAGGAGAGAGAGACGCGAGGAACATAAACAATAATTTAAACAAGTTGCAGAACTCTTGAGCAGTGTTTGAATCAGTGTTTTTCGGAAAAGCACTACTTTGCCGGTATCTGTCAATGTTCAACATAAAACACAGATTAACAAACTCCTCCCCCGCAGCCGGACTAACCTCGTAAGTCCAGTGGTGGTCTCCCAGTCTATATTAATTCTTTCTTTGTTTGAAAGTCCAATTGAGAAAAAAAATCTTCATTCAAATCATCCATTTTCCAGCAAAAGAAATAGCATTTTGGGCTGATTGTTTGTTAGCAACTCTGGTATGAACTTTATGCTCACTATCACCCCTAGCGGTGAGGCACAGATACCGCCTGCCTCACGCCAAGCTTTTTCCTTGTGTGTTCATCTACGATCAAAAGACTTAAACTAAATATAAATTGTACACACATACGTGCAATACACTACTAAACACTAAGAGGAGTTTAAAAAATGTTTTTAAAGCAGGATATTTGAAACAAACGGTGATATATCAACTGCACGAGCTGAGTGCACTCAGACACACACACACACACTGTGAGGGAGCGGTCTGGGGTGAGGCACGCAGGAGCGCTGCCTCACCTCGTCTCTTTGAATAGGAATAACGGGATTTCGGCGATTTTGACTTCAGAAATGATCAAAACTGATGGGAACCGTGCCGAATATACATTAAAAGCATAGGACAGTGGATGTAAATTATATATTTAAAATAAAATAATTATTAGTTTCCAATAATGGCAGGTGAGGCTCTGCCTCCCCTGCCTCCCCTGACTGCACGTCCCTGATAACGTATATTTTACAAGAACAACAATAATAAAAAAAATAACATAATAAAAGTGCAAATGTGGCATTTATTTATCATCTAAATACTGATATGAAATTTCAAAGCCAGCACGATTATACGCATCCAGTGACAGACATTATGGTCGCTGGCAGTTTCTTGAAAATGTCTTTTTAGGAGAAAGGTTTCACAATCTTCATTGAGATGTAATTCTGTGAACACATGATCATATAATAGTGGGAAAGAAGTACAAAATAAATACACATTTGAATATGCAATGTATTTGTGTTATTATTTACAGGCAGCGAGTAGAATAGGATTCCAAGGAACAGGATCACCAGCATTAGGATTACACCTATTATCAAAATCCATTTAAAACGGCGCCACACTATAAACCTCATCGTCTTGCAAGGGCTGGTGAACCAGAAGAAGGACGTGTCGGGCCGGCTGCAAAATAGTATTGTGTAATAAAAGTCAACAACATAATTTCACATTCTGATAATTCAATGAGTGATGAAGTCATGGCAGCAGTAGTAACAGTAGCAGAAGTTGACATTTTATATAAATATCTCCTACTTAGGTGGTTCCAGTCTGGGATTCATGTTGGGCTCATCTCTGCCTTTCCCAGCCGGTCTTTCCTCCATTTCCTTCTCTTCTACTATCTCCAATGTCATCTCCACTTTGCCCTAAAAATAAAGAGAAGAACTATTTACAATTAAGTATAGATTATCAAAGCATCGTGCTTTGATGAACATACTCCAAGTATACGTTCTCCGTCCTGCTCGATGGCACATGGCCACCAGCCGCGCACAGACTTTTGGGAGAAAAGGGACTTTGTCGTGGCTCCGGTAGACAAAGCACTTGTAGTTTTTCCTGGTAACATTTTCAGGCTGCACTTTTCTGGAGTTTTAGCTGGTGGGATGAGGTTGAGAAGATCCAACTCGACAGAACCTAAGGACGTTATAGAAAGAGTGCAGGGGTAAAGCAGAAATAAGTAAGGAGTGGATGTAGATCAAAAGTTAAAGCAGCGGGTTTCAAACCAGAATCATAGACTGTATATACAGATGGACAATGCTAACCCCTTAGCTCAATAAAACACAATAGGTCATGGACAAAAAAAATGTCTATTGACTTGCATTGACTAAAATAGCTCAATAACCGTTGACTAACATGATACATGTTACATCTTTGGATCAACTTTTTCAGACAGAAAAGAGAAAAAGAGAGAACGAACCTCACTCACCTAATCTTTCTTACATGCAAAAACATATTGTGACAGCATGTTGTGGTAGGATTTATTCACCAAAATGTACTTTTATACTTTGTACACTTTTCGTTGTGACAGACAAATGTATCATTAATGTATTCAAAAAGTTAGAAACGCCAGCTATAAATAATGAATCACAAATGAAATTATTACCTAAGTAGTCATCCAGAGAAAACTTGTCGTTGTCCCATATTTGAACAGTGAGTTTTGGCGGGATCCTGAATTCAGTCTTATCAAGATTCCAAAAGTGCTCCTACCAAATAAAACACATTTGGACATTAGCATACAGCTGGTTTGCATACAATCGTTTACAGAGTCAGGGAAAATAGCTTACTTTTCTGGAAACCATACAGAGTTGTTCCGCTGGGAGGTAATCAAACCCAAAGAGGAACCTCCAGTTAAAATTTCCATCACCGTCCAGGGACCTGTAGTGCACGTCAGTCTTCTGTTTGTCGTCCTCCATACCTGGCATCCACCTAAACGCAAACACTTTAAAATAATTCTGACTTTAAAACATCATTGTAAACACCACTTCCTGTCCGCATTACCCTTTCACATAAATATCGCTCATGTTCTCCCCTGTGATGCTGGTTTCGTCCAGAATGACGTCGGTGGTGTTCCAAATGACGGCACGCAAATAATATCTGTTTTGAGGCAAAAGTTAGCATTTTCTTCTCTCAGTTTATGTTAAATAGAATAAAAAAAATTGCATTACTTTTTGGCCTTTCGTGGAGTGACATCAGAAGGAGGCCCTGGCAAACCAAGGTTTTTAGGAAATATGTCCACCCACATCTGTATTTGTCCCTGTAATAAAATAAACATGTAAGAGTTTGATGTCATGTTTAATATATTTCCATTTCTTGCAATTGATGATGTGATTATACTTGGGAGAGGTTGGGTTGGTGAGAGCTGTACAGCGTCCTGGTTTCCACATGCTCCGGTACCAGGCCCTGTTTTCGCAGCACGTGAAGGGCCAGTCTTTCTCTTGGGGGTCCCAGGTGAGAATGGATGACAGTATTTGCTTCTGTTCAAGTAGAATAGCAAAACACAATTAAGGGTGGTATGAAATAAGGTCGGTACAGAGAGGGGAATTACAACTGGCAAGTAAAACAATTCACAATAATGAATTTGTATCAGAGCTCACCAAACTCCTGCAGGCTGTATCGCTTTCCAGCAAAGGTCATGGTGGTCCAATCTGCCTCCACACAAGGGGCAGTCACCCCTCTTATCTTTGCCACATTAAGGAGAATCTGGGAAGGTTTCAGTTGATCTCTCCATTGATTGATTCCTGAGCTAAAAAGGGAAAAAGAATTACTGATTTGCTTAGGTTTATTTTTGGGTGTTCTCAAAAAAGTGTGATTGCATTATTAAGCGATCATAATCAACAGTGTGGCATTACTACAAGGAGGTTTGAACTTGAATGATTATGTGGTATTTACAGTTTTTGTCGTTAATTTTTAAGCTGTGACACTTGACTTTTAAATCACAATAATGGGAAGTACTGTCCCGGCAGTAAGGGATGCCGTCAGGCTGAAGAAGGAGTCCTATCGAGCAATGATGGTTCGTGGGACTCCTGAGGCAGCTGTCCAGTACCGGCAGGCCAAACGTGCCGCGGCCCGGGCTGTTGCAGAGGCAAAAACCCGGGACTGGGAGGAGTTCGGAGAGTCCATGGAGCATGACTATCGGTCGGCCTCGAAGAGGTTCTGGCAAACCGTCCGGCGCCTCAGGAGGGGGAAGCAGTTCTTTGCCAACACCGTGTATGGTGCGGGTGGAGGGCTGCTGACCTCGACTGGGGATATTGTCGGGCGGTGGAAGGAATACTTCGAGGTTCTCCTCAATCCCCCCGTCACGTCCCCCGTCCAGGAGGCAGAGGCTGAGGATGTTGGGGCGGATACTTCCATCTCCCTGGCCGAGGTCACCAAGGTGGTTGGCAGCCTCCATGGTGGCAAGGCGCCGGGAGTGGATGAGATCCGTCCTGACTATCTAAAGTCTCTGGATGTTGTAGGACTGTCTTGGCTGACACGTCTCTGCAACATCGCGTGGCGATCGGGGGCGGTGCCAATGGAGTGGCAGACCGGGGTGGTGGTCCCTCTCTACAAGAAGGGGGACCGGAGGGTGTGTTCCAATTATCGTGGGATCACACTCCTCAGCCTCCCCGGTAAGGTCTACTCCAAGGTACTGGAGAGGAGGCTACGTCCGATGGTCGAATCTCGGATTCAGGAGGAGCAGTGTGGTTTTCGTCCCGGTCGCGGAACACTGGACCAGCTCTATACTCTCCATCGGATACTCAAGGGTTCATGGGAGTTCGCCCAACCTGTCCACATGTGCTTTGTGGATTTGGAGAAGGCGTTCGACCGTGTTCCCCGGGGTGTCCTTTGGGGGGTCCTCCGGGAGTACGGGGTCCGGGGTCCTCTGCTGAGGGCTGTTCGGTCCCTGTATGACCGGAGCCAGAGCTGTGTTCGCATTGCCGGCAGTAAGTCAGACCTGTTCCCGGTGCATGTTGGCCTCCGCCAAGGCTGCCCTTTGTCACCGGTTCTGTTCACTGTATTTATGGACAGAATCTCTAGGCGCAGCCAGGGGCCGGAGGGGGTCCCGGTTCGGGAACCACAGGATTTCATCTCTACTTTTTGCGGATGATGTCGTCCTGCTGGCTCCAACGAACCAGGACCTGCAACATGCACTGGGACGGTTTGCAGCCGAGTGTGAAGCGGCTGGGATGAGAATCAGCACCTCCAAATCCGAGGCCATGGTGCTCGACCGGAAAAAGGTGCCTTGCCCTCTCCAGGTGGGTGGAGAGGTCCTTCCTCAAGTGGAGGAGTTCAAGTATCTCGGGGTGTTGTTCACGAGTGAGGGGAGGATGGAGCGTGAGATTGACAGGCGGATCGGTGCAGCGTGCGCAGTGATGCGGTCTCTGTATCGGACCGTTGTGGTAAAGAGGGAGCTGAGCCGAAAGGCAAAGCTCTCAATTTACCGGTCAATCTTCGTTCCCTCCCTCACCTATGGTCATGAGCTGTGGGTAATGACCGAAAGAACGAGATCGCGGATACAAGCGGTCGAAATGAGCTTCCTCCGCAGAGTGGCTGGGCGCTCCCTTAGAGATAGGGTGAGGAGCTCGGTCACACGGGAGGAGCTCGGAGTAGAGCCGCTGCTTCTCCACGTCGAGAGGAACCAGTTGAGGTGGCTCGGGCATCTGTTCAGGATGCCTCCTGGACGCCTTCCTGGGGAGGTGTTCCGGGCACGTCCCACCGGGAGGAGGCCCCGGGGAAGACCCAGGACACGCTGGAGAGACTATGTCTCTCAGCTGGCCTGGGAACGCCTAGGGGTCCCCCCGGAGGAGGTGTGTGTGGATAGGGAAATCTGGGCGTCTCTGCTTAGACTGCTGCCCCCGCGACCCGGCAACGGATAAAGCGGAAGAAAATGGATGGATGGATGGGAACAATGTAATGAAAGCTCTCAAACTAGTCCAGTGTATTTTTGGCCTCTGTTATGAGACTTTTATGACTGGATTGAGCTGTTTAAAATTGAGTATATTATTTCCATATTCATTCACACCACAGCTAAATTAGTACCAAATATGTTACTTTGTGACACAATAAAAAACAATTGCAGTATATATAAATACAACTTTCCGCATGACAATACATGACTATACTGTTGGAGCTGAAGTTGGCTGGATACTACCTAAATGGCTCCTTTGTGTTAGCGGCTCAGGGCTACATGAAAAAAGACACAGCGAGCTGCATTTGGCCCGCAAGAAGTTTGGACACGCCTGAAGAAGATATATTGATACCAGGAAGTTCCTGCAGCCAACTCTGGGTAGTGACCTTATAGGTACATTTTGAATAATACATTAGTCCATTATGTAGCTATACTCACATGCAGTAGGTTTCAGGCAGACCACATGACGGCCTAAATCGGGACAGAAGTCGGTTTTCTAAATCAATAACTGTTTCACCAACTTTCTCATCTCTGCTGAATAAGTCATAGTCATAAACTGCAATCTTCAGGTCCTTGTCTTGAGGCAGGAAGCAAGACATCTCAAACATCCTAAACAAAGATAATATACATGAATGATTATTGTAAAACGTGTCGAGTTTAAGAATGACTGCTCACCTCCCAAACTCTGGGTTGAGTGTGTTTGGTTTGTAGTGATCTCGGTCATCCACTGTTTTTCGGCCCAGACTGATCTTCATGTATGGGTCACACTGGAACACAGATATAAGTAGGAACAATAAAAATGTTTTGTTCTACATTTCCATAAAGCGCTGAAGCTAAACTCACCATGCCGTTCGTGTCTTTGGGCTGGAGGTCAATACAGCGAACCACGTAGATTCTGACCAGACATTCCTGCGGGGAACTTTCAGGGAGCTCTCTGAACTGGCGAGGTGGAGAGGGAACCCGGGGGTCATCAGACAGAGGGTAGATACGGAAAGAGCCCTGGGCACAAGAGGCAATGAAAGACCATGAGATTATACACAACAGTTTGAGGGGTTTTTCAGCAATAAATCAAGACAATATTAAGTTCTAAAAGATATGCTTTGAAAAAAAGTTCACCACTTCAGATATGTAAAAGTGAATATTATAGCCCTAGAATAGACTAGATATATACATATATAGATAGAGAGATATAGATAGATATTGCGTTTGTGCAAAACATGCACTGGCATTGACCCTCCACCAGAGGGCAGACAAAGCTCTGAAAATAAAAATGTATAATATTCAACTTGTGGATCAGTGCTATATCAATTGTAGTGGTTCAATGAGGTTAGAAATAGGTTAGAAATGTAAAAGGCAAAATAATAAAATACATTTTATTCTTTTGCCTTAATTAAAAATAGCACAATAACAGAAAATTTTATTTTATTAGGTCTACAGATTGTATGTCTGTATTCTGCTATTCTGTAAAACAGTGAGTGAGTGAGTAAATAAGCAACTGGATCTTTTATATAAAATAGATTCCATAGAGAGCAGTTGTTTGTTTGTAAACAAGAAGATCACATGAAGTGGCACAATCTGCAGCTGTATTTACATTGAAATGCATATGAACCATTATCATACAAAAACTCGGGCCATCATTCTCAAATCTACTGATTATTTGTTTGTGGCAAATGACTTTCCCTTCTTTGTGATGTCACCTTGAACTCTCCCACCACAGACGGGTCGTCCTCCTCATCCTCAGTCTTCCCACGCTGCAGTTTGAACGTGCAGCAGAAATCTGTCAGATGCTCGAACTCCAACACTTCCTCCAGCTCCCGGTCGTAAACCTGAAAGCAGAGGGAGTTTACATCAGTTTTAGGAGGAGATTACTGTATTATACCAGGGGTTTTTTCACGTAATTCCTAAAAGTAATCCCCTGATCCTTTTTTAATTTTGAGTTGTTCCTCAGGAGGTTTCCCCTAACACAAAGATTACTTACTTATTTCTCTGATCTGTTGAATCAACTTGATATGATTAAAACACTGTTGTTGTGTTTGAGGCATTTCCGACATGACGGTGCTGCTTTTGAGCATGTTCCCACCTGCAGAGAATCGTATCCTTTCTGAAGATAGGGCCCACACTTCTCCTTTTGTCCCACAGAGGCGAAGAACTTACTCCACCAGTCCACCGTCTCCTCCTCCTGGATCAAAATGATACGATTATCTAAAAACTTGTAATATGACATTGAAAAACATGGGCCTGTTGTTTATTTCTTCTACAACTTATCACAATGGTTTGTCATGATTCTGCAAAGAAAAGTAAATACTTGAGATAGAAAAAAAAATAGAGAGCCAGAATAGGATAGAAATGGATTTGTTTTTTTTCAATAAAGGTTAAATATTTAATCCCGGCATATTTTTTAACAGAATCAAGGACACTGCATCAAATAGTATTTTACTAATGCAATTCTATTTGTCCTTCGGCCCACATCTGGTCACTGTTTATATGACAAGCCAATTTGTTTGTATAGCATATTATATAGAGTTTATAAGGCAACACAAAGTGCTTGACAAAACAAGATGGAAATCATATTTGAATCACAGTGCATAAAAAGATGCTTTTTTGTATGCAAGAGACAGTTTTAAGTGTTTGTCAAAGCAAAAGTCAAAATGTCATTGATTTCTGTATCAAAGAAACAAAAGGTCAACCCCTTACCTTTTCTGTTTGAAGCTATAAAGAAGATTAAAACATCAAAATTAGCAGTGGATTGAAAAAGTTGGCCTTAAAGCTGGGGTACCTAACTTTCAAATCACACTTCATGGAATTGCGTATTAGAAAAAAGAAACTTATTCCAAGCTCTCATAACAGTTTGGTAAATCAGTAGTTTGCTCTCAGCCTAAAACATCACATATAGATCAACAGGACTCTTTCTTACAAGTTTGCAAATAATGTAATGATTTCTGATGAAATGACATTGAGGTTTGATTCGGTCACATCTATCTTTTACCGGGTTCTTTCTGCAGCAGTAGATGAAAAACAAAAGTGATGTACCCCAGCTTTAACTTCAGTATAACATTCTTCATATTCACCTCAGATTTCACAAGAGGTCTCTCTTCAATGTTGATGACGACATCCCCCTGGGCAGCAGCGATCATGGCCACTGCAGGGGACACGTGGTTACACATCTTACCGTGCAATAGAACACACACATAGAACACACACATAGAACACAGGTGTACCTCGAGCAGACATGACCTCGTTGTTGACGCCGTACGGGTCACAGCGGAACTCCTCCAGGCAGTGGATGGTGCACTGACCCACCACAGGCTTCCTGCCAAACGGACGGTGGTCGATGACTTTCAGCACAATGGGAGGAGTGTACATGTCCTCTTTGGGAAGGAGCTGCCGCAGGAACAAAACAAAACATTCATTACATTTGAACTACATTTGAAGTCCGAGCAGCTGTGTGTGCACCTCTCTGATGAGGATGAGACTCATAAAAGACAGAACTGGAGGGTCTAAGGTGATGACACTGGTCACCTGCTGACCCTAACCAATGGTCCAATAAGAACCAAATATTATTGTGTTTCCTGTGTTCATCTGTTTGATTCTCTGGTCTGTTGTGTAACTGCAGTATGTATAAGTGTATGTGGCTAAGTTTAGGACTACTCAATCTTTATCTCAGTGTGTGGAGCAACTATTCAAAATGATTTTTTAGAATAATTGAAAACAAGCTCAAACATAACTAAATTCTAAAAACTGGTCAAGACTTTGGTCAAGACTTGGTTTAATCCTGAAGTGGTCTGTTCTGAAGTTTTCTCTGTTTTTTGAGTGAGAATGCACAAATACCACTTTGAGCAGCAAGACTGATCCGGGAAAGTTGGGATTCTTCTTGAAGTTCTTGATGACCGCTGTTTGAACGATCTCTCCCCCACACTCCACCACCAGACTGGGAGAGGAGACTGTGGCCAGCTGGTACGTCTTCATGTTCCTTAAGCCCCAGGTCAAAACCTTATAACATAAATAACACAGATAACAATAGTAATGAGGCTGTAAATACAAACATTAGTTATAAGATCCTTTAGAAACGACTGTACCTCAATAGCAGTGAGTTGCACCACGGGTCTGATCCCCTGTGGAACCATGTAGAGCGACTCTCCGCGGCGAGCAGGGACCAGGGGCATGTCGCCTTCGTTTACCTACATGAAAAAAACGGTTCTTTACTAGAAGTAGAAGAAAGGCAGAGCGCACACACATTTACATTTTTGGGCAGAATTATTGATGAACTGGGCCATGGGTTTCACTGTACTTCTGAACAATTCATAATTGTTTCAATTCCAGTTAACACAATGTTCCTCTTTCAGAAAAGGGCTGTGAGAATTCACAACTAATGAGAAAAGATTTTTAACATCTGAACATCTCTGAAAAAGGTTCCACTAAAAGAGGAAGTCTTAAAAAAAACCTAGCTTCAGTTTCAATGGCTTCAGTTAAAGCTATGGAACAATGTAGACAGACAAATTCAAACTAGCTCTATACAGGTACTTAAGAGAATGTTACAAAGAGCCGATATATGGCAGAGTATACCTGTACAGTCTCATTATGTTTACTCAGAAAAGGCACAGACCCATGGGCTGCACCCCGCTCTCTGCGTGGGAACCTCTTCAGTCTTGGATCTACTGCCTCCTGGTGTTCCAGTCTGAATCCTGGATCTATAGGCTCAGTCAGTCCTGGTTCTACAGCCTGAGTCCTGGATCTATAGCCTCAGTCAGTCCTGGTTCTACAACCTGAGTCCTGGATCTATAGCCTCAGTCCTGGATCTACAGCCTCAGACCAGGTTCTCCATCTTGAGTCCTGGATCTATAGCCTCAGTCAGTCCTGGATCTAGAGTCTGAATCCGGGTTGCTGACCGTGTCTTTAAGGATGAGCTCGGCTGCCACCAGGACCTCCCCAGCGCTGCGTCCTTTCTTCACCACTGGAAACCACAGCAGCTTTGGGGACAGCGCTACAGCCGGGTTTAGCTTCACCACCGGGGGACACGTGCAGCGGCCCATGGGCTCATCTTTACCCTGGAGGAGACACAAACAGACCACAACGACGTCAGAATCATTCATTTTGCAAAGGGATGTGGAAGTGCCAGTCCCATACCACTTGGTCTCTATCATACAGCTCCAGGACCACATCGGGGGGATTGTGGGCAATAGTCTGAGGGTCTCCATAGATCTCGATGTCTTCGAAGATCAGAGTCTGGTCCCAGGTCGGGTTTAGGGTGCTTCTGATCACCTCAGTGGTCTTGCTTAGGTGTAGGAATGACACATGTGCATAGGGATCTTGGAAAGAGAAAAACTCATCAGTACACAACTATATACTGTATATGGTCCAATTACTCTTATTTCAAAGTTGATTGTCACCCTTTAAATAAACAATCAATTGTTTGCATTTTATTTCAAACAATCAATAAGCATTCCCCATTCACCTAACTAGTCCATAGACCCACATTACAAGAGTAGTGGAATTAACCATTTATTATTCACAATTCATGGACCCTTTCTATCATCGACAAAAGATTTCAAGATTTTTGGAATGTCCCTTTTGGCTACTTCTTTCAAAGTTCTTTCAAGTTGCATCAGCCCACACCTGGCACTATTAGAACACTGTGATGAATGAATGAATGCAATTGAACACTATAATATGTACGTTTCCAAAAAGTAAAAACTATCAAATACCAGAAAAGCTGTCTTTGTCCATGGCGCAGAGATTCCTGGCTTGATACACATAGACTCTCAGGTGATAGCGGTGGGAGCCTAAAGAACATGGAGACACGTGTTTCATACAAAGAGCTTATCCAGATCCATTTTATGAACATTGAGTTTACATAAAGCTGCTTTTATCGGGCAGGAAATGTTGTTTGGGGCAAGAAGCGATTAATCAAACCCAGGAATGCTTCTTGCACTTACGGCTGAAGTGGCAGGAAACCGTGGGGGTGTTGGCTCCGAAGCGCTTGGCAGGGGCACTGTCTGTTTTGCTACTTTTGTCATCCACGTCAACCCCCTGCAAACACATTATTATTTTTGATTATTCAATGAATAACTCACTTGAAAATCCAGAACTATTCAGCACATTTCCTAAGAGCAGCTAAGGAACAGCAGATGAGTCAGGGGGCATAACAAAATATGGTTACCAAGAAGACTTCCTACATTTTTAACGTGGTTCCAGTATATTTATAAATCACTTCCTTTCCTATGGTGTGGCTGTATTACAACGTAAATGTCTTTGTATAGCTTATCTTGGCTGTCACTACAACTCATCATTGCTTCTTCCTGAAAATGTTATCAACTGCAATATTCTCATAATAGTTTTTGAATAATCTCATAATTTTGATGACTGAATCTATATGAACTAATATGTAGTACATGAAGGTTTATACTCAATAGCACAAACTAAACCAATCGAGAGTGTATTATTCAAGTTCCTTTATTTAAAGTAGCAGTATGTAATAATTGCATATCAAGTCATCATTAAATGGCCCCAATATTTCAATTTTCAATCTATTTGAATTTAATTGCATGATATCACATTCTTTGACAGATTACTCAAAAAACGATCAAATAATAAGATCATGATGCAGATTATAGCTTGTTTGTAAAAAGAATAATTTGAGACCACATGTACCCCAATTAAAATAATGTTAGTCTCCATTTGATGTGGGACTAAAAAATAGGGACTAAAATAAAATTGAAGGGTGATGTCCTCTGGAGGAAACCCTGATGTTGATACGCTGAAGAAATATGTTCCAACATCCATTCTTCCCACTCCTATTTCGGACATCAATTGCTTATTTATGTTGCATAATCTATGTTTAATTACATTGCTTTTATTTTGTTTTTGTTTTTTAACTCAAATGTCCAAATAAAATAAATAAATAAATACATTCATTCAAAACATTCATTCAACATTTGCACGGCTCTCATGGCAATGTGAGAGACAGGCAAACAACTGATAAAATAATTCCCTGTGTTTCCTGCTGGATTTGGTGTGTATCTGGCAACATGAGTCAGGGAGAGTGGCAGAGGACTACAAAATACTGACTGTGACTGCAGTACCACTTTTGGACAGATTTTTACATATTGCTCCTTTAAATCCCGGAGGCCCAAACCAGCCCATGAACATCTGGATCGAGGGTAAAGACTGGAATGCTCTGACTGTAAACCAATTCTCTTGTTTGTCAGCCTTTGCTTTGAAAATTTTTCCCCTACAACCAATAGTTCATGTTACATCTCCTCCTATTGACATAGAGGAAAATGTTGGTAGCCCACTGGCAAAATCCCAAGCTTCTAATTAACATAATTTGACAGCTGCATCCACAACTGTTACTTTTTTCTCATCATACTTCCACAGGATAAATATAGCTGCTTTAGTCTCTCCTACTTCATCTGGCATCTGTATCCAGTTTGACAAAGCACATGGACATTCACCCATTGTCACTCTGTTTGTTTAATGGAGGCAATGATGCAACCTTGGACTCCCCGCCCTGGACCTGCAGACTCGCCCTCAGTCTGCTGTTGGGGAGTTGGCTCGTAGTGATTTTGGGCGATACAAAAAGACATTGATTTGAGGTATGTATACAATGGAACTGTTGAGCGCTCAATGAAAATATTCTGTCAAAATGAGCATTCCCTAAAACTGTTTTGGTTGTGTAAGTCTCACCAGCGCCCCCTCTAGTTTAAAGATAGCAGAGGCTCCAATGCAATCTGACGGCACCATCTTCCTCCTCCAGCGGCGTCGGCGAAAGATGTCGGCAGAGCGTTCCTTCCTGTGAAACTTCCAGCCAATCAGTGATGAGTACTCCCAGCCTTCTCCTGAATCTTTTCTCTGAAACAAAAGATTCAAAAGTGGTGTTTGATAAAAGTACTAATATAAAGTAAATGTAATTAGTATACCTCTGCAGGGGCTGCTTTCTCAGACGTCTTCTTTCTCCTGCGAACCAGTCTCCTCCGGCGATGGACGTGATACATCTTCTCAGCAGCAACCCAGGATTTGGGCTTGTCATCCGGAGGAATTGTGACTCCATACTCCCAGCCTGCAGTTATTTATTACAGCACTTAGTAAGAATATTACACTTACAAAAGCCCACTCACAGGACCCACCTTTCTCATCCACAGCCCTGTTAGTGTCAAAGCTCCACTCGTCTTCCCACGTCCATCCAGGAGGGCACTCCAGCTCTCGGAAGCTTTGGCCCTTCTCTCCATTCTGTAGAAAAGTTGTAAAAAGTTGTAATAGAAACACTTTTAGTCTCATAAACTCTTTTAAAAAGGCCTGCTTTTCCCCAGAATTATCACATTACTCTAAACTCTTTAGCACATAACAGAGAAGTAGGTAATTAAACTAGAAATAAAACCTGAAGAAGTTCAGGAGTGCGAGAGGACCATGGATCCATAATAATAACTGGATAGGGTATTACTAGCTTATAGCCGTGGTACTGCAGACTAAATTGACGTGGGCTACCCAGAAAAAAGTCCCATAGCACTCAATGAAAACTAAAACAGCTCGACCTCAGCTGACAGAGAACTTACAGCTTTTATAAAGGTTTCAGGATTTTAGTGTCCCTTGTCATTCTGAACAGTTTTTCTTCTAAAATCCTTCGGTTTTCTTTTAATCCACACTTTATTGCCACAAACTCTGCTCCTTTCCTTCTTGCTCTGACTCCGCTCTAACTCTGCCCTGATCACCAGCGCTTATTGATCAAAGTGCAGCCAAGACACTCCGTGCACGTGCATGAGAGCCACACATGCGTATTTGGCACAACGCATCATGGGATCTCGTCCACTGCGCAGAAAAGGGAGGACAAGACATGCCCAAATATAGGCGAGTTCCACTAATCTTTCGATCCCCATGTATGTCGCATGCGCTACAGAGCACAAGCCATTCATTTGAATAGGACGCCATCTTGGATCACCAGGGCTTGGAGAGGACCAAACCCAAAAGTCCATGTCAAATAAAATAATTCTTTGTTCAGTTTTCATGTAGTTCCAGAGCTTAGTGAAGTCTTGATTCGGAGGCTCAGTGAAAACAAACAACTGAGCATGCGCGCAGCTACTTGCATGAGCACCGATGATTGACAGCACTTGGCATTACTTGATTGGTTAAAGTGGATGGCATCGTGGATTTGTGCTATAGTTAAGATAAGGGAAGTCGGGACTTACCCGTTATATTATAATTCATAAAATGACTTATTTTATATCAACATTTAAGCCCAGGAGGTCAATTTAATGCAATTCTTAAAATGTGTAATTCATTTAGAGTAAACTATCACTTTAAGTAACTCATCTATGAGATTGTGCACTCAATAAAGTCGTGATGGTGACCACTGTGACTGCTAGCTCAAGCTATTCCAGTGTCCTGTTATCTTTGCTCAGGTATGTGAAATATTGTCCCACACAGCCACTGTTTGTGTTCACATGCCATAGAGTATAATCCCCTCATACCACATCTGTGAATGGCTCTGCGGCCGGCTTCCACTCTCCGCCGGGAAAACGCGTCTCATTCTCAAAGACTTCATCAGTGAACTGAGTGTGGCCCGCGTCGGCTTCTGTCAGTAAGCTGCAGGAAGAGAGGAGTGAGTCAGACGGCAGCTGTCTCAGACTATTAAGAACAATAGGAGGGCAAAGTTTAAGTAATCAGGAGGAAGCGGAAAGAATGAGGCTTAATTAAGAAAGCATTCCACATTATAGGATATGTTTGGGTAAGGAACAGTTGAAGGGAACTGCAGTTTATTAAGTCATTTTCCTATTTATTTTTCATAAAAGGCTTTTCAAAAATATTTCCATATATTACAGTTTAAATGTTACATGGATGAGGTAGCTAATGTTTCATAGACAGAGTTATCACAAAACTCATTAGCCCAGAGTAAGCTAGTATGCTTTTTATATACTTATACTGTATATACCTAATTTTGAGAAAGGACTATAGACGTCAAAGAGTGGACTCCTACAGGATAAGACGGAGAAAGTTATGGCATACTCTCATACACACACCTCCTCTCCGGCTTAATGAGGAAATAGACTTATCTGGCTTCCTCTAGCCTCTAATCGCTCATGATTATTTATAATTGCTGTAAGATGATAATGTCTCCGCTCTGGGCCCTGCAGTTGGCCTTTCACATGGTCATTAGTCTCTTCCATGATGCATCATGAGTATTAGGTTAACGCTTGTGCTTCACAGAAAGGAGGTCCTGGGTTCGATTCCCCAGTCTGGTTTACACGTTCTCCCCATGTTTACATAGATATCCACTCAGTACCCCGCTTTCCCCTATCCCTAAAACATATGCATTGGGAGAGTGAGTGTGACTGTGGGACAGTTACAATCTATAGTGCAATTAAAGATTATGTTGTTAATTCTGTTCCATCCAAATAAAATAAAAAATAGTATTAAAACAACAATAATAAAGCAAACTATAATTATGTAAGGAAAAAATAAATGAAATCACAATAATGACTAGCCACCAGTGCAATCCGCTCTATTTATAAATGAGGCAATTACAACATCCAGTAATTACAAATTAGTGAACATCAAACGTTAAAGTGACGTACCATCGGTCTGGATCAACAAACCAGTCGTCCATCCACTCCCAGCTCACAGGCGGCATGAAGCGCTCCTTTTTGAGTTTCACTTTTCCTGTCACATCAGAGAATTTATGACGCCCGACGAGTCCTGTGGTTCCCCATTTTCCAATCACCTTGACTTGATTCTCATACTGCAGAGAAGAGAGAGAGATAACGTCGGTAACAACATGATTTATTAAAGGTGATAAATGTACGGTGTGTATGTTACCAGTTCAGCGTAGACACTGAAGTTCCCCTCGGAGTAGCTGTTGAACTTCTTCTCGTGAACCGACAAGCCGAGCCACATGTTGAGACGCACTTGGACAGGGATTTTAATGCCCTTGTTCTTATCCATGGGGTACTGAACAAAAACAGCAGGGAGAGGTCAAGTTAAATAATGGAAAAATAATGAACAAAATAATAGTCTAAACCAATCTTCGGTCTAGTAAGAGCACACAGCTGTAGGCCTGTCCTACAAATGATACTGCATTGGTCAGAATAAGAATTATTTTATTGCCATTGTAAGTAACAGGAAGTCACAAATTTTCTTTGGTATATGGTGCAGATAAGTAATAAATAAGAAATGTAAGTAAGAACATGCATGAAAAATGTCTATAAAGTTCTATATGAATATACACAATAGATATTTAACACAGCTGATTACCAGTAAATTCTGACGGCATGTGTGGTGATCGAAACATCACATTTAAAAAGAACTACTATACCCCATACAAAGTAGAATCATACCTGCATAAAGATAGTCTGTGTCCTCCCGCAGTACTTTCCACACGCTTGCTCGCTGAAGCTGGAGTACAGCACCTGATTGGCGGGGATCCTTGAGTAGGCCACCCGCTTCTCTCCTCTCAACATCCATATGACGACATCCGGCAGGCTGTTCTGAGGCTAAAGGTAAATGTTTATAGGGTTATAATCAGAGAATGTGCTCATATTATAACTGTTGTCTGTTCATAGCTAGTATTAGACCTCTTCTGCCAGCTGCTTGATGCGCTCCAGCCAGTCCTCCATGTCGGGGATGGTGGCCCTGGTGTCAGTGGCCTCTGTTCTCATGCGAGCTGCTGCTTCTCTGATGTTTGCCAGAGCTGCGTCACGTAAATTCTTCAGCTGCAAATCCAACGTGGTCAAATTGGGCTGTCCCTCCATTGCTGGTAACTGGACGCTACTAAAAAAAACACACATTATACATAAATAAATAAGTCTAATCTATTCTAATATACTGTTTGAACAGTGCATGTCTGAGGAAAGGGATAGATGTTGTGTGTAGGGAAGGAATGGTGCTTATACTTGATATATTGGTGTATTATGTTAATTGTTCAATGTCCATATCTAATGTGAAGATATAGATAGATAGATAGATAGATAGAGTCATCTATTTCATATTTTTGTAAAGCATGAATGAACAAGATTAATTTACTTTTAAATGTGACAGTTGTGTACATGCATATTTGCATATTGTACATTTAATAATAATGCATCAGTTCTATATATTTATTCACTCTATACACGGTGGTGATAAACTACTACCACAGCTGCCCTGGGAAAGCAAGGCAACCAGTATGTGCCATCGGCCCCTTCGACCACCACCAACCATTCACACAGATTCATTCTAGGCAATGACACAACGGCAGTTTGGCACTTTACAGCCACTCCACTGTGGTATGTACAGTACGGCTGAACAAACATAATTGTCAACTGATTTAGTAATTGAATAATGTTTAATGGATTAAGGTTGCAGAATTAAATTAAAATGTGTTTACAAAGTATGTTTAGCTTTGTTATTTATAACCCCTATTCACTGACCTTTCGGAATCCAAACATTGTTAATTATTCATTCATCCATGTCATGTATGCTTAATCTTTCTTACCTCAGATCATCAATCAAGTGATCAATCAACTTGAGCCAAATCTCTGCGAGGCGTATCTCAGAAACCTTGGCCAAGAGCGCCGTCTTCAGAGATGTCAGGTGGGACTCCTAAGATCACACACAATTGCTTGATTCTTGTACGGTATTGTGTGATTTATTTATTTTTTTCCAGGGACAGTGTACAATAAACATTCAGCAAAAGGAAAAATGCATTGTAATAGGTTGTACCAGGAGTGCTAAGTTACACCTGTAGTGACATTATGAGCAGAATATGTTTAATCTTTCCATACCAGTCTGTCCGCGATGTAGAGGAGCATGTTTACTGAGTCTAGCCGATGACTGATGTCCTCCCAGTATGACGTGAGGATCACCACTGGCTTTGTGTCGGCCCACGGGAGGTAATAGTAGTGATTACCTGTGGACACAAGGTAAGTACATAGCCACGAGCAGAGAGAAGATCCAAAAAGCCCGCACAGGGACTATGAGATATCAGCATCACGGCGATCATAGTAATAATGTTTTTATACCATCAAACACGCCAAAGCTGTACTGCGTGGTGGAGGCCAGCGGTTTGCAGGTGGAGTCCAGTTTGTTGCCGTAGTTTCCGATGCTAACTTCAAACTGGATGGGCTCCCCTGGCTCCTGGAGCATGCAGGCACTGTGGAAGACTGCGCACAAAGAGAACCGCCTCCTGCGCTGGTATTTCTGGGGAAAAATTTATTATTTTAACAGAACGGTTATGTCCTCATGGCTAAGATTACTTTATGGACAAGAAAATAATTTGAGTAAAGAAAAAGATACAGTATGTGTGGAGCACTAAAGCTGGGGTAGCTGCTTTTCCCAGCCTGTTTCTGTTGGGACAAACAAAACCTCATCAATAACAAGTTTTGTTTGTCCCAACAGAAAGTCTTGTAAATGTAAAATGTTTTGAAGAAATCAGTCTTCATCTCATACGAAAACATCTTTTGTATACTTGGGGTGGTCCTCGCTTTTTTACTTTTCAGTCTACAAAAGGAGATATTGAAATGGGACAGGGCGTTTCATTGCATAGATCATATTTTAGTGGTTTGAAAGTTACTCCAGCTTTAAGTGCACAATGATAATACAATACAATATAATTCATTCCAGATATTGACCCTCCCTCTTTCTCAATCTGCATCAGCACATAACCACTAAAATGTTAAATTGTATTGCATTATAATTGATATCGAAAGCGTTCTGGCATGTTGTATGTCTTTTCATAAATACTTTGATTGCCTTCTCTCCACCGTTTCCAGCAAAACGACTAAAATCTGTCCCTTCAGTTCAAACGATATGAAGTGAACATTTCCTAGAACATGAATGAGTGATACCTGAGCCACCAGAATGTCATCGCTGCAGACGTCCTCCACAGCTCGGTCAACCTTTGCATCCAACTGCGTGGACAGTTCCACCAGGACTCTGCCTCTGTAGGCCACGCCCTCCCCCTGCAACACCGACAGTTAACTGTAGGACCATCTTTTTTACATATTCATGATCATTTGTTAACAAGAATATGCAAAATTCTGCGATTCATTAAGAACAAATACTTTTCATGTCAAGAGCAGCTGTGAGAATTGATGGAAAAACTCAAAACGATGGAAAAAGAACATTGTTGTAAGATTGCAGGATCAGTGACGATGAATTTTCATATTTGCTGTATGCATGAGTCCCGATGTTTGCAATCAAACATTTTCAGATAAATAATATTCTTTTATTAGATAAAATATTCCTTTATTTTTATTTTTTCAGTTTTTTTGACTTGAATTTTGACTTAGATAACAGTAAAGTATATATAAATGCATCCGATAGTGTTGTATTTTTGTTAGATCCCAAAAGCCTTTAATTTTTACTGAACCTTATTGTTTAGAAATATATAACATACGTATCATATTGTGTCATGCGTAGCGAGATACTTATCGTATCGGCAAACTCTGACAGATTCCCAGCTCTTTTGAATATCTGAGGTTTAAATATCTATGAAAAAGTGTTAGTCAGAGCAGTTGTACATCCCTTGGATAAGGTTCAAATGCTTCAGTGTTGGTCGGATAAACTCTTCAAAAACGTCATAATTTAACACATTTAATAGAGATATTTGGGATAATGAATGTAACTTTTTTACAACGTTTGTAAACTTACAGTATTTTAAATAAACCCCCTAAAACTTTTTTAAATCCAGTTTTTATCATCACAGTTCTTCATAATCTCTCACTAGTCACACAGGGTTGATGCATCCTGGGAAAGGAAAACATGAGCTGGTAAAAGGTCGGACCCTGAGGAGAGACTTTGTTGGTGAGAGCACAACACACATTTCAACACATAATGAAGGCTGTTCATGTTCTCCAAATGTTTTTTTGTTTTTTTTCTGCAAATGTGAGTACTCTTCCTTCAGATAAAAACTTAGAGTAGTCTGGTACCTTGCCAAAGTTCAGTTCTTCATACGGGTCTCCAAGAGCACTGAACTCCCTGGGGCCCCCGTATAGGTTCATGTAGCAGGGGCCGAACGCAGGGAGAAACCCAACCTCAGACTGAGCTGTTCAAAACAAACAAAACACACTGTGCTTCAGTTTTGCTCGGTGTTAATAATACAGAGCAACATGTGGTAAGTAAGTCATCTTTATTTATATAGCACATTTCAAAGAAGTTACACAAACTTAACAATGTGATGTCAAACTCACATTCAGACATGGTGCTGCTGTTTGAGTCTACAACAACAAAGACAAAACATCAATTATTTCCATGAAAAATCTGAAGAATGTCGTAAAAACACACAATAACCTTCGACTTCTCCGCCAGACGAGGACATTTTGCTGAGATTTAAAAACGTTGTACCGATGGCATCGTCTTTAGTGGCGCGGTCCCTGACAACACAAAACAAAACATATTATGGGATATACACAGAAATCTCTTCTTCTCCAGTCATATGATATTTGCCACTTACCAGTCATACATGGTTAGTTTAATACGCTCACACATAGAGGGAAACTAAAACAAAAGATGTTGAATTATTATTATCAAAGCTCTGATTGTACTGTACAAAAACTATGGGAAATCTAGCTTGCTGAAAATAGCTTATTTTTTATAGTTGTTTGTCTATTCAAAGAGCGATGATGTACTTTGTGTAATTTTCATACCTTCACTTGAAGATTGACAAGCTGATTCCACTCGGGGTTGGCATTTCTTTCTATTATTTTAGTGCAAAGCTTAAAAACAAATCAAAATCAGCAACACTTTCTATCAAACTAGTTCATTCAAGCTGCTTTTCATACCTTTTTTCCAGCAAAACTGACTTCTAAATACGGATCTACTAAGTTTTTCCTGTCTCCGTCTCCTCCCAAGGCCTGTTTCATAGTCTGAATAAAGGCGTCATCCACTGTAGAATGGGGGATTTTTGATTTAGGAACTACAATAATGTCATAAGAAAGGTTTTTCTTCACTTACTTTGAGGCATATCTTCAGCGCGATAGACTTTCAGAGTGAGTGTGGCCCATCGCATCGTGACGCCGGCCGGAACCAGGAGATTGCTCTCCACGTCGTCCTGCTCTTCATTTGTGTCTCTCTTCTCGGACTAGAAAAAAACATAATTTAAAAGTATTATTTTTGCTTTATAATAGATGAAAAAAAAAAAAACGCTATAATAATAATAATAATAATAATAATACAGATATTATACAGGGTACTCTACATCTGACATTTAAATGAAGTCTGTTGTAAGTGGAGCAACAGTTTTCAGAATTTCTAAAGTTTGTCAAATGGATCCAGTTCATGTTTCGTTGCGTATCTGAGCTTATCTTTAATGTTGAATTAACAACATTAAAGATAACATATTATATTTTTTAATTTTGACCATTAAGAAATAATATTTAGACCAATTACTTTCATGTTATGTTTTAGAATATCTTAAAAATATGGTGAAACAAGTGAGAAGGATGAATAATTCTATCGGCCTGTAACTTCCTAATGCTACCACCTTTCAGAGCATAATTCATAATATTTATTTGGAGACATGCTATGAATGATGAGTGTGTTCTTGTACCGGGGGCTCATCTCCAGTGGCCACGACCATCATGGTGACTTTGAGGTAACCTTTGGCTCCTGACGTAGCGTCCTCCGCGTCACTCAGCAGCAGCCACTTTCTCATCACAGCGTGGCCTAAGCAGAGACAGTGAAGACCAGAGAAGATAGTTTATCACTGTTTTGTTTTTGATAATCCAGCTAAAGTAATGCTGATAAGAATGATAGTGTTATTGCTGATTCGGGGTCAGGACTTTTATATTATACCATCATCAAACATTATTATAGACTTGAGGTCCAGGATAAGACAAACACAATACACAAAACAACACATAAAATCACAACAATAAACCGCACTCCTCAGAGAAAACAGCATATGAACCTGATATTTGTTTTGTAGAGACAGAGTTTTAGAAGAGGTTATGCACGTTTTATAGTTCTTCCACTACTATGTAAGTACCATAATTGCCATTGGTTGGACTATTTCTGGCTTTGCTAAGAGGAGGTCAAAAATGTGCATTATTTTAAAAAGGAAATTCAAAAGTTGCGGACATCACCTTTAACTGACCTTTTACTTTTCCACAAAAGTGTAGAAATATAATGTGCGAAAGTTTCAACATGCAAACCGTTTGGTCAATTGGCTGTTTAAAATTGTTTTATCAACTAATTATTTAATACTGTATTTTTTTGTGTAATATAATACAATATTATTTTGTGATAAATATGTATGAAATGGGCTCTGTAACACTGTGCTAACTGCACATGTCACTATTACCAGTTTATATTAACAATATATTTCTTCAGAGAATGACTGAGATAAATAGATAATAATTAAGATCATTTTTAAGCTATACAGCTTTAGTACAATCCAAGCTGGATCATCCCAGTAAGACATTTTCATACATTTAATTAAAAAGCAAGCGCTAAAAAATATATAACAGAAACAGATATTATTCAACCATTATTCAATTATATATATATATATATATATATATATATATATATATATATATATATATATATATATATATATATATATATATATAGATATAGAAGTAGAAGTTGACTTACCAGGCTCATCATAAATGTAGCCAACATCCAACTAGAGGGATGAAAAAACATATACATGAAGAAAAATCTCAGATAAAGTGATGTAAAGACAGAGACAGAGACACGCACTTTGAATTCTCCCATGAGGCTGTCGGAGCGGAGGGAGTAGGAGTCATAAACCTGCCAACATACACAAGTACTTATGCTTATGAATACATTACAAGTACAGTTTGTTTATTCACTGTTAATAAGTATCATATGTAATGTTTGAAAGTACAGACCCTCAGAATGACACTCTCATCGAACAGCTCCGAGGGAAGCATGTTTATGTTGTAGAAAAACATCTGCAAAAGTCACACATGTATTTAGTTGAATGACTTTTGTTAATGTTTATTCACATTTCTTATTCCCGAAACTTGTATAATCTATTCTGTACCTCATCAAAAAATGGGTTGTTTCCTCGCCTGATCCGGGTCCGGTGGGTCTGTCCACACACGCTGGCTTTCACCACTGGTTTTATATTGTTACCAGGAAGCTGCCGGGCCTCCAAAATTCGGACTCGGATCTGGACACATCAGACATAGCTCACTGGCCGCTGAACAAATATACAGGAATGTGACTTTCTCAGAACAACACCATGAAGTGTTGCCCCTTCACTCTGCCCCCCAGCTCTGGAACTCTCTCCCCCCTGACCTCCGTACCATTGACTCTCTTCCACTCTTCAAATCCCGACTCAAAACCCATCTGTTCAGACTGTCCTACCCCACCTAACACACACGCGCGCACACACACACACACACACACACACCTAACACATACGCACACACACACCCTCCTAACTCACACACACACACACACCATCCCATATTGCACCTGACTACTGTTTTATTCTGTTTATCCTGTTTTTAAATGTTTTTATTATGCCTGTACAGTGTCCTTGGGTGTTTTGAAAGGCGCTTTTAAATAAAATGTATTATTATTATTATTATTATTAAGTGGGACGACAAAGTATATACAATCAAAATTATATACTATCTATTTACCTATATAACTATCAATACAATAAATTACTTCAGCTTCCAAAATATGCAAACGTATGTAAAGCTCTCCATTAGGTCTTTTCAAACATTATATTGTTCACAAAATCCATTTATATTTCACACAATGGTTCTGTATAAAAGACTAAAAGAAAATGATGTTGTTTTTCATCCTCAAGCTTGACTCACATGTCCTACAAGCAGAATCTTTGGAGAATCTCCCCTGCGTCTACTTTTCTGCACAAAGTAATCATGCTCTAAGTTCACGAAAGGCTGTACAGAGCTACAGTATGTGTGCAAACAAATCAGAAGAAAGTGAGGTTGGTCTCCAAAAGGAACGTGAGTGTAGGCGTGGTCTGCAAAGGATGGTGGACTGTGGCCGCTACATGGTTTGGTCCATGATGACATGATACAGTGGTTTACATACTTCTCCGACCGCACATACAGCATTTCGGAGTCCTATGACAATGTAGCTCGGCAGGATTTCCTTTTATCTATGTGCCTGTCGTAGTGGCTGGACCATGCCCACTGCACACAAGTTGTGCACTCTGGGTCACAGTCAATCTGCTTCAATACTGTCGCGTACATATGAAGCTGAATGCACAAATTCATACTGAAAGACCGAGTACAAATTCCCCTTTCCAAGGCAACCAATCACACAGCGCTGCCAGCCTCGAGCCTCTGCCAATCACACAGCCCGGCCAGCCTCCTGCCAACCCTCTGACAGCAAAGCGGCAGTTTAAAAGGCAGCCACTTCCTGACAAGCAGCGCTTCCTGGAGTTCTTAACACCAACCACCTCCCAAGCACCTCCTCCGGCTCCTGCTCCAGGCTCCTGCTCTGGCTCCTTCTCTGGCTCGTGCTCCGCCTACGCCCCATTCACACCATACTCTAGCCACCACCAGTGCTTGACCCCGGGGGACCTGAGATCATCTTCAGCTGCAATCGATCTCATCGCTGCAAGTGTCACTGCCGGGGTCAATGCGCCAAATAAATAAATAATTTCAATGTATTAATTGTGTCTTTGGTCTCTTCAGATTGAACTGTGCGTACAGCCAGCCGCTCCGCACATTTGCATCCCTCCACTCTTTGCTTTGGCCATAGGACCAAATCTGTGTCAGAGGAACACAGGCTTATCTACCTAAATCATCTACATTTATATGGATGTTACAATAGAGTCCTAGAAGGTTCCTTTCTGAAGGGTGAGAAACGCTGGGTCCACAAATGTTTGTGGGCCATAATATTCCACAGTACGGTAATTTAATTCCATACATCTTCAATATAATGTTGTATAGCAGTTATTTTGGGGGATTTTACTAAATTATTATGTGCCTATAAGTGAGCAATAATGAATACCTGGAAGTCCTGGGGTTTATTGGCCAAGGGTCGGTGCCTCTTTCTGCTGATGCTCACTGTTTTGTGTCCAGGCTGGTGGGAGGAGGATGGAACCCCGGGAGTCGTACATACAACCCCTCCATCTTCATCTTCGTCACCGTCATCTCCATCCCCTGTGTGGTCTGCCAAATCAGTTCAGCAACATGAACACATGAAATAGATGAAAGTGTATTTATTTATATAAATCAAAATGACCTCCATCGACGTGCGAAATATCTCCCTCTACACCGTCATTCATGTTTGGAGTGGAGTGAGCGGGGGGTTCATATCCAACAAGCAAATTAATAACTGCCTTCAAAAACAATTATTCTTTATACGTCATACTGTATTAGCACAATTTTCAATACACAACAGTTTTATTATTTACCCCTATGGCCTGTTGTTTTTCATTGATCAGCGGTACATTCCTATAGGGCAGGGCCTTCACCTGACCACTGGACAGTTCTCTCAGATAAACCTTTGCAGAACCAATAAATCTGCACAAATATGAGAAAAATAAGGTTTAGATTTGTACATAGAGATATAGCAATTCCAAAAAGTGTAGTTGAGGCCACGTAATTTGATATTTTGCAAAATCTTACCTCAAAATATCTCATTTGACAGTAAAAGTACAACTTTATATCAAAGCAAAGAGTTGTATATATGCCGCTCTGTGTTTCGCTTTATTTATTCTGTTTGTGTGTGTGCTTTGTTGTGTTGGTGCCCCCGGTGTCTCCTGTTTGTATTCCAATGTAGTTTTTTTCTGCAAATGGCAAATAAACTGATTCTGATTCTGATTCAAACATACTGCTTTAAAGGTGGGGTACTTAACCAAATTTTCCTTTTTTTATACAGTACATAACACGCAAAAGTAAATTAAAGGCTGTAAATATCTTTTTGGAAAACATGATCTTTTGCACTATGGTAAAAAGTCTCTATTTGACACTTTGGGCTGAAAGCTGATTGCCTGTGTGAGGATGGTCCTCTCTTTCCACTTTTCTGATACAATATCTGTGATTTGCTACAAAATGATGTTATCGAGACAATAAGTCTGATACCAGTCGTATTCAGGGGGTAATACAGAGGGTAATTAAAATGATTTTCAAAACTTGCAAAAAATCTTGTTAAAAGGCATGGGCTACCAAGGAATTTAAAAAATCATTTTAAAAGGGCATAATGCTACTTTCTATGTGAGAGAATTAATGTGCCTATTTGACCTTGTTGTGACCCAGCGGCTGACCCTTAACTTCCCATTGGTGTGGTCTGTTGTTCGGGAGTTTTTCTCTGCTGACAAACCACCTACAATGATCCTGGAGCATTGAAGACACATGCTGACCCGTTAAATATGGATAACTATATATTGCATAATGCCCTTTACAAGCTAATCTTCCTCGTGAAAACAACACTATCATTCATTATATTCTAAAACCACAGAACACTATTATTATCAACAATAACAACAACAAGAATAATACAAAATCTGCAACAAAACCCTATCTTACTTTTGGTCCAGGTTAAGCCAAAGCATGTGCTCATTTTGTTCAGAAAAATCTCAAAATAAAGTTTAATAAAAGCAATAATTTGGTCATAATACCGACATAATACAAACAAATAACAAACTCATTGTGTCCCATTGACGCACAAATACGTCAAAGCAAATAGTAACGTCGTGTGCCATTGACGCATTAATCCGTCAATTGCCTTTTTCGCTATTTTCACGTTCCCAGATGTCTATTGTATCTAATATGTATGGGGATGACTTGAGACCATATTTTATCGAGCCAGCAGGTGGCAGCATTGCTCTCTGAATGGTTTGAAAACATGTAGGTGCACATGTTGTGCCTCTTTTTTCTCAGCTTTCTGGTGATTTCTGGTGATTTCAGTAAAACTTCCCTCTACTCAACAAAGGATTACAGGGGAACGAAAAAAGCTATAAACAAAATTCTTTTTGCTGAGGAAAGTAGACAGTCCATTCTTTTAGAATCTGGTGTCGGATTTCAGATAGTCATAGTACACAATATTCTGTGGGTCTTGAAAAATCAGTAAAAATCATCAGAAATGGCTGGCACTGTGGGAGTACCTGTTCTGAAATAGGCTGGCATTCAATAAAGCATCAAAAGATTGGGTAATACAAACTTCCCTCAAATAACATTTTGGAGACCTTGGTATAACATTAGAATCCTAAAAATAGTTGTGGCACTACTGGTTTAATAAATCAAGGGGTACGTGAAACATCCTCCCTCAACAACCGAGGAGACTCACGCTACTGTGGAATTCTAAGTGATTAGAATCATGTGTTTTTATTCCGTCACAATAGGTGGATGTGGCAGAAGTTTTTGACTTCTCATTTTCACTTCTTGGTGTATTAAAAAGATCATTGTTGTGGGCACTGTATCTATGGTGTTGCCAAACGACGGAAAGCACCAGTCGTCTCATCTGTGTTTGTGGTTCAAAGAAAATCTGTTTGTTATGAATCAGACTCAACACCCAATCGAAGAATAAACCATTCAAACATATCACAAATGATACAGATGGACAAAACATATCTTGAGACTAGAACATTTTCTGCAGCTGTAAATGTGCACATCTGGGAACAATCATAATTTGCCAAAGTTATGCACTGGGCCTTCTGTGAATAAATAGAATGACGACTATCCTGCTCTCATTTGTGTGTATCTAACACAATTCAGCAGTTAGCCTAACTCCTTCTGAAAAGACAAGTCAGGAAGTAGCGTCCAAGCTCCTTTTAATTGTCTCCAAAACAGAGTAAAAAGACGATGATGTCAAAAAGACAACAATATCCGCAGATGGCACTGGATGAATGTGAGGAGATGTGCTGAACTCCAAAACAACTAAAATGGCCGATTTCCTGTCTGGATCCCTCAGCTAGCCTTCAAAATAAGATTGCTTCCTGTCTCCAGATAGCCCTTCAAAATAAAATCGCTAAACCCAATTTAAGACAAAATAACGCACATTTAGAGGGCACAACAACGACACCATAAACCTCCATTCATTTCACTTATGAGAAGATTCCCACTTCCTCTGATTCACAGCTGTGATAAGTTCTGTTGCAGCCCTTTAAGTGAGTTGATAGATTGGATGGGACTGTGAGATTTCATAACACTTTTAAGCAACTTTTGTTAAAGTTAAACAAATCATTCTATCAATGTGCAGAAGCCAGTACTTTTCCCTTGTTTTGTCTATCTGAAGGCCAAGCTACATGGCACCGTGGAAGCTGCTGATTGGAGGTCTCCATGCCTCCGCTCTGTATAATACACTTGCATTCTGTGTTCGTGCTTTGTTCGTGCTGTCTCTACCATCGACAATAAAACATGTCTTCTGTCGGAATTTAAGACACGATCCCAGACATGTCATCTTCTTCAGGACTTTATCCAACCCATTGACAGAATATGGATCACAGAAATGTATAGTCACGGAAATGTTTTTTTTAGATTTGAGGATAGATACTGTGCTGGATCTGCAATGGCCTGATCCTAAAGGTACTTTTTGGGGAGGTCTGCAACAGCCACACATTTTATATGTTTACATTTTAGACTGGTGCTTGTGTTTTGTACAAGGCACTTTCTGACTCTGGCATGTGAAGCTGTAGAAGTGAAGTTTACTTTACTGAACGCATTGGTTTGTTTAAAGATTCTAGATTCAATTTATTGCCATTTACATAATGAGCACCAGAGACAACAATATAAAAACACAGTACTATACAAAGTTGAAAAACACATTCAAATATACATAACAGACAATTCATCAATTCATCACTGTGAATGTATTGTAGTGTCTAAAGTAGTTATTAGGGGCTTGTGGAATAACAAGATATTCTGCGCCTCACAAAAAAATATCTCCTCCCAGAGGGAAGAACATGACTTTCAGGGTTCCCAGAAGGGTTTCTTAATCTAATTAAAAAATTGTCCAAAGCCCTAAATGATTATCAACCAGTCAAACAGAAGGCTGGTTTGTATTTACATAATAATAAATCTTTGCAATGTCATACAAAGAAGGAGTTTGTAGAGAATGTCAAGAGGAAGCGAACAGTAAAAAATCCAAATATTTGTCTTTATACAAAGTAACTTCTCATTGTGTGTTTAACTTATGAAGTAAAAGTATAACATTGTGATGAAATCAAAGCTAGATAATGTTTTGGAAGATTGATTGACTGATTGACTAATCTGTATAGAACTGGGAACAAAAGATAGAAAATAATTAATGAAAACATTCTGACATTTCTTTTTTTAGAAAAATAAAAAATGCACATTCCATATTGCCCTGTTCTCCAAGATATTTGCTTCTTTAACAAGATTACTCCAGACAATAAACACAAAATCCGAAACATTTAATTTCCTCCAGAATCCTGCACACTGAACCTCTTCATCTCTGTGGTGTGGATCAAAAGACTTACTTGTGTCTCATAAAGCCCTGATTGTGAGTAATGACAAGCCTGCACAAGCTTTGTGGCTCAACCCCCACTTTATCGGCAGTGACGATAAAATATTACAGCACATGCATGACTGAGACGCCCCCACCCTCCACCCTTCACCACCACACTTCCCTAGAATATTTTTAACTGTGCTGCACCGACAAGAGGAAATGTAGGAAATAAACAAAAGGAATGAGGGGCCAGGAGTAAAGCCATTTAGAGCAAGTCCAGATAAGGTTGCTCAAATAATTTGGACATTCTTTCATAGTGTTACCAGTCGCTCTTTTGTGGAGCACAAGTCAGAACAAGGAGCCAGTGAGCAATGCAAGGTAACAACTCAGAATTTGGAAGGAAAAAACTACTCAACCAGTGATAATGTGGGCGACATTGACATTGAACAATTGATAAGGAGAGTAAAATTACACTGTGGCAGTCCATCATATTTCTCAAAAGCTGTTATAAAAATGTGGGTTGAGGTTCGAGACTGGAAATTGAAACAGCAAAAGACCAGAGAGGTTGCAATAGTCTCAATTCAATTACATTGTGCCTGAAATCACAACAAAAGTCATCGCGGAGGACTTCACAGTTCAAGTTGTCTTCAAGTTGTTGATTAGCCTTTTAAAAAAGTGATTTTTAAATGGGTGTTTTTCAGACCATAGAAATATCCTCTGATATAAAAAAAATAAATACTTTTGCAACATTGTTTTATTTATTTTAGAATGATCAATTTGTTTGTTTTGTTTGTGTGGATGGACGTGTTTTTGGCAGCTACTGGACATCTGAATTTCTCCTACGGGGATCAATAAAGTATTTATCTATCTATCTATCTATTATATACTTAGTTTGTGGTATAGTTGGTCTTAATAGACATTGAAGTCTTGTGAGACATTGATTCACCAATTTCTTCTGACGTTTTTATTTTTATATGTTTGGATTGTGGGAAGTTACTTTGTTTTGAATATTTGAATGTCTGTTTTACAATCCATGCATTGGCTTGCCCCACAAAATATGCAGTTTTAGCTGTTAACATTGTTTTATAATCATATATACGCAACAATATGTTTTTTTAATATGAGTAATCAAATGTAGTCAATCAGCCAAGAAATCTGTAATGTAAATCTCCCGAAAACAAACTTGGTTGTTTCCTACATAAAACCCCACTTATGAAGACAACCAAGTATTCATGTCTACGGAACAGACAAGTTTCCCGCACGCGAATTGAAAAGGAGGTCCTCATTATGTCCTTCCAGTAAATAACAGTTAGGTAAAGCTCAGAGTTTTTCAATTACCTTCCAAGTTACCACATCCTCAATACATCTAAAGCCTAAACTAAAAATATACATTTTAAAACTTACTTGTCCTTTCCAAGTGTTTCAGAGTCTTTCACCACTACATCCACAAAAGATGATGCATCCAATGGACAGCTTTTAAGGTCAAATTCCAGCAACTATTCACAAAAACATAATGTAGTTAACTTTTAAACACTTTAAACGCTATGCCCTTTTTCATACCTCATTCCAGACAGGATTCAAGTCATTGTCAATAACTTGGGTTTTCTTCTTTACCCCTGCAAAAACAAAAACAATTGTTTGAATGGTACCCTTAAACCAGCTGTTACATTACAATAGCTGGAAATACTGCAACGCTTATTCGTGACCATATAAGGACATGCCCAATGAATGACTAACAACATGTGCAGTGTAGTTTATGGAGATAGTTATATAAATTACAGAACAGGATAATAAAATAAATCTTCATACTAAATTGAATTGGATGGATAGAGCAAAAGTCTTACCTCTGAATAAAACTCCAACAATTGGATCTGGGCATCCAAGTTTCTTTTTGGGTATTCCACTGGCAGACTCCACAGTGACCCGTAGCATATTGGAAAATGTTTGTTTTCTTGTTCAGAAATAAAGCATTTTTCCACAAAGGGTAAGTGCAACAAGTCAGCCAGAGAGCCAGCGACAACTGAGACAGATGTGAGGAGAACACACAGCAGCACAGCCCCCAGTCTATGTCAGCGGCTGCACTCATCACGCCTGTGGATAGAGGAAAGAAAAAACAATATACAAACAATGTAAAATACAAAGAAAAGTAATCCAGCCATATCATATTTAAAATTATACGTTATGGTTAAAAACGTATTTATAATTTCCCACTCAGACTCGTCGATCTCGCTTATGTAGCTTATCAAACAGCGACATCTGGTGGTAACAATGAATTTATCGATTAATTATTACCCCTAACGCAACACAATATTGTCACCATGCCATTGGGAGTATTTTTGAGTATCTTAATTTCGGTTCTAAATATTTAAAGAATAATTACATCGCGTTTTGTCAAAGAAACACATTTTTTTTTTACCATGTATCACTCTGAGCAGGTTATGTAGTAATGACCAAACATAACATTTATGAAGTAGTACGCTAAATACGAGCTAATTAGGCTAATGACTAACTATTATGATAGGGATGATAGCTTCCTCTAGCTGTAGTTCGCTAACGATTATTTTGAAAACAATGCATAAACCTGACAAAACTAATCACTGTGTGTTTTATATGATATGGCAGACAGTTTCCATTTAGCTAAAGCTAGTTTTGATTACCTTTACTTAAATTAAATCATTTCAAAAGCCATCAAGAGTTTCCTTAGGCGTAGTAACAGAGTGTGTTTGTTTTTTGTAAACTAATGTTCTCGTTTATATCTTTAGATTTATTTACCTTCCAGTAACAATGCTGCCAACTTCTACACGCCACAAGCTGTCAAAGCTCCTGAGGCTCTTGTTGTAATTAGCAACATAAAAAGGGAAATGGTCTTGAATGAGCTGAGCGCACACAACGACCACATCAGGATGCTAACGTGCACAAGAGTCAAGATAAGATAACATAAGATTAACTTTAATGATCTCAAAAAGGATACATTTACATTTAAAATTTGGCATATACTCAATCAGGGTGTGTAAAAAGACAGGAAGTGTGCAAACATGTTAAAAAGTTAGAATATGGTCTCTTATCAAATTAAAAGTGACAATAGCAGTGCAAGTTTTTCAGTCCTAGTGCATGTCATTTAAATGATTTAATTGTAGTCTGACAACGGTGGGGATGAAGGTCCTGCGTAGCGCTCTTTCTTGCACTGAGGATGCCAAATCCTCTAATACTACTACTCTATTACTCTACTATAATTTTACTACTACTCTAATTCTACTATTTCTACTACTACTACTTTATTACTCCACTCTAATACTACTACTACTACTCTATTACATACTACTACTACTCTGGTACCCTGTTTTCTTTGATTGGAACTGCTGGATTGGGGTTACAAGTCCAAATACCTCAGACATCATTGATGACGGTGGTCTGTACTGAAGCCTGATTGAAAAACAATTGATCATTTCTGGCTGTGCCTTTAACATTATGTAATAAACTATTTAATAGAGACTCACACAGAACACCTCAGTGTTTGAAATTACTTAAAAAGTTAATTGAATCCATGTGTAATAAGTGGCCCTTTGCTTTCAGGGTTTAAAATGTGGTTTCAGTCAGTACAGTTGTTATAATCGCACATATTATGGCATATTCTAGAAGAAGAAATTGATAATGGAATGGGACTGAGGCATCTGTCAGTTGTGTTGCCTGTAAAAGACCTAATAATAGTTCAATCTGGAGAAACCAAGACAGACACATTATTTAGAAAGATTTGTTCGTTTGGCACAATGACCCGGGCAGTGACACTTGTAGAGGGGAGATTATTTGCTGCTGAGATGATCTCAGATAGAGCTGAGGCGGATCAGCAGGAGAGGAGGTGGAGTGCCATCTACAGAGTTGGTGCTGTGATCCCTCCTCCTTCCAAAGATTCTGCTTTATCCGTTGCTGGGTTGTGAGGGCAACTGTCTAAACACAGACGCCCGGACCTCCCGATCCACACACACTTCCTCCAGCTCATCTAGGGGAATCCTGGGGGCTGGCTGAGAGACATAGTCCCTACAGTGTGTCTTGGGTCTTCCCCTGGGTCTTCCCCTTGGTCTCCTCCCAGTGGGCCTCCTTAGGGAGAAGTCCAGGAGGCATCTGATGCACCTCAACTGGCTCCTCTTGACGTGTAGAAGCAGCGGCTCTACTCTGAGCTCCTGCCGAGTGACTGAGCTCCTCACCCTCTTTCTAAGGGAGGGACGCAGAGGAAACTCATTTCACCACTTGTATCTGAGATCTCGTCCTTTCGGTCATGACCCAAATCTGGTGACCAGAGGTTTTCACGAGAAGCTCATTCGTGAACAAGACCCGGAGGTATTTGAACTACTCCACTGGAGGAAGGACCTCTGCACCTGGAGAGGCACCTTTTTCCGATCGAGCACCATGGCCTCATGTTTGGAGGTGCTGTACTTTATCTCAGCCGCTTCACACTTGACTTCCCAGTGCATGTTGAAAGTCCTGGTTTGTTTGGAGCCAATAGGACAACATTGTCTGCAAACAGCAGAGAGGAAATCTTGTGGTCTCCAAACTATGATCCCCAACTACATTACTAAAGTATTTTCATTTTTTCATGTTATTCATTTTTTTTCTTTATTTTTTGATTTATTTTATTCTATCATTCATTTTATTTGTTTTTTGTTTGACGGTAAGACATATGCATTCGTTTGGGCTGAGGACAGAGACAAGGCACTGCCAGCTTTGACAGCACTGAAAAAGACATACACATTACCACATGAGATAGGAGTTTGTATTAAAGTCATTGTGTCATTATCAAAGATGTCTTCAGATGTCTTGTTTCCAGTTTTGTGTTCCAGATGGAGACAGGAGTCCGCTGCATCTATCATGTGAGTCATCTTCAAATAAGTAGTGAACTTATGAATAAAAGGCTCTGTCTGCTCCCACAGTTCGCAGATGGATGGAGCTGTCCATGGTATCAACCATACTACTGCAGTGAAGCACCGCTAGAGACCACCCTGATCCTGGCCCTACACAGTGAGAGGCCATTCTGACGCTGGACCAATGACATGGACACGTGTCTGGTGAGCTGGACTCTTTAGGGTCCATTTAGGACCCACAGTGGAATGCAGACATATTGTTACTTGCATGAATTAACTTGTTTTCATTACAGGAACTCAAGCTCAGTGTTGGAAAAGTTATGCTTTTCTACAACTGTAATGACTGTTGTACTTCCAGCTCCAGCCACGTGTAGTCCAAAGAACACACATCCAAACGTTCGTAAGTCAATATCGGAGATGCAGAGTGTTCAGTGTTCATTAGAATGTAAGTGACACCAAACATGTATTTGACCAAATGTAGGATCTATTCTTGTGAGAGTGACCTGTGGATGCTGCTGTCCACTTCAGGGGAAGAAAGGAACAAGTGCGGCCACAAAGAGACCAGACTCATCCCACGTGAGAGGCCTTCAGTTTGTGTCCTGCTGCTCTTCTGAACTGTGCTCTTAAAACACATTGGTTTTGTTCAGGGAGGAAACCTGAGGGAGGACTCCAGAAGACGGGGGATTTGCAACAAGATGACAATACTATCATTCTCCTGTTTTATTGTGATGTGCATGCGCTGAGGGAGAAGCGGCTACAGTCAGAGATCTATCAGACTGTTGTGGTGAAGAGGGAGCAGCGTCTACAGTCAGAGCTCTGGATTTACTGCTCTGTGTATGGTCGTATCATGAGCTTTGGAAAATGGCCCAAAGGACAAGATAGCAGATACAAGGCTCTAAGTGAGTTTGATTCTGACTAGAGCCGCTGCTCCTTCACATCCAAAAGAACCATTTGAGGTGAGGAGAGGAGTGGATTTGGCACAGTTCTGTTGCATACTCCAACCAGCAACAATACAGTCAATGCTCTTTTCAACTGCCCCTTTGTTGTCAGATGCAGTGGGGGCTCCACCAGCGCTCAGCACCACAGAGAGCCACATCCCCTGCTCCTGACCACAGCCCACCAGTGTTCCAGTGTACATAAGATCAGAGCCATGTCTGGAGGAGAAGCTCCAACAGAGGTGAGAGTGAAGTACCACCAGCAAATCTGTATGAAGATTTACAACAACATTTCAACAATACCATTCTTCTGTTTAATTGTGACTGCAGGCGCCGAGGAGCAGGTGGACCTGTGAACCTAACGGAGAAACTGACCAAAACAAATCTGCAAATGAGAGCGCCTGACTGGGACGGTGTGCAGTCGAGGGAGAAGCGGCTCCAATGAAACTCAGACCCTCTGATTACAAGGCCAGGGTTCTGGACCGGAGGCAGATGTCTTACCCTCTCCAGGTGGCTGAGAGCTCCTTCCTCCAGCGGTGGAGTTCAAGTGTCTCTGGTCTTGTTCACTGCGAGAGAAGGAGCAGCGTCTGCAGGGATGCTGCCTCTGTATGGGACTGTTGTGGTGAAGAGGGAGCTGAGTCTGGAGCTGGCCTGGAAACGCCTTAGTTCGTGTGAAGAGGGAAGTCTGGGCCACTCAGACTTCTGCCTCTGTGACCCGACCCAGGATAAAGTGGAAGAAATTGGATGGATGTTTCCAGATGAGCCCAGAACAAGTGACTGAGGGATGGAGAAAGCTCAACATAAGACTGCGCTGAATCAATCCAAATGTGGTCATAATAAAAACCAACAATGTCTAATTCAATTTTACTTTTATTTCTTATTTCAGTAATCTTAAGTTTGTGTTGAAGTGCTGTGTTACTTGTAAGCAAAAGAGAACAGTCACACACTATTCGATAATAATTGTTCCTGGAGCCTCCTAAAAACATTTTCTTTTCCACCAGATTGTGTAAAAATTATTGTTTTCCTTTACCTTCACTGACTTTTGATACTGTAAGTACTATAACTTTTGACTAGAACTTGACATAAACAAAAACAGGCCAATGCTGAAGACAAAAGACAAGTAAACGGTGTGTTGCAAACT